CTGTTTAATAAACAGAGCATCTGGTTACGTCTTCGTATCCCATATACGGGTTGTACAAAGTCTTAGTAATCTGAAAGCAGTATGACGAATGGGGGCGTGGTTTGGCCACGATGGTAAGGTATCAAGATGTGTTGGTGTGAATGGTGCTTGAATACAAAGATTTGAACCCAATGTCCCTTTGTCAAATGAGAGAAAAAAAAAATTAAACAGTGTCTAATTACCGTGACAAACGTAGAAATATTAAATAATTAATTAACTAAAATATGATGAAAGAAATCATTACAGACATCAGAAAGGTGAACGGTTCTCGACCAGCCCGAAAAGTCATAAGATGGCTTTTGAAAATAAAATTCTGATGTGATTTTGGGGAGGGGGCTGGTGGAGGAAGTGGGAGGCATACCTCCTCCCGTAAAAACACCACTCCTTGTAACCGGTTAGAATAAATATAATATGCAGTCCGTGCTATTTTTAGAAATCCTCTTTCTCCTTCCCTTTTGGGGTTTATGCAAGCTAAAACAAGTGTTTACAATATGACATCATCATTTACTGGTCACATGTGGTCTATAGACCAATTAGAAAGTACATTTATGACTCAGTATCACAGCGTTGTATATAGCCTTATAAACTGTAAATATTGTTCATATAGTCAATATACGTTTATCATTATCAAATTCAATACAGAACCTTTAAACACCTTAAAACACATCTATACATTATACTAGAAGTATATTAGAATATTCTTACTTCTGTCGAGAGACATAGAACAAATTCCAAGACCCTCAAAACCGTCTCCCATTCTAAATGTAAGAAGTCTACGCAAACGAATTACCACAGACCCAATAGCTCTCGATATTATCAAAGCTGAATACTCGGAGAACTTTGATTTTATTCTTTTAACCGAAACTTGGCTTGACAAAAACATTTCTTCAGGTGTAAAAACATTTATATTAATTTCCGATGATTTCAATATAGATAGTAATAACTGAGACGCCCGACACATGTCCTATCGTAGAAAGCGATCCTAAAAAGTGCAAATTCTATGCGTGTGAAAATGTAGATAGAAATGAGAATATTAACTCAGGATTTTTAGACAGCAGAGCTACAGTTTGAACTGTCGAAATAATCGAGAAGAATGTTGAGCTCTGCGAAATTTAAAAATTGAACATTCTGTTGACTAATGAAAATAAACCGAGCTCTCATCTCAGCCGGGGTTGTACCTGATGTACATTTTGTTATATCGTAATGTGGCTGATCTGTACCAATATCACGATAACACTCAATAGAATCATCGAGACCAGCTTCATCACAGTTTCCAGTCATCCCAAAACTCAAACGAAACCCTTCCATCCGATCAGAATGACCTACAAAAGAAGAATAATAGTATAACCGTTTATTTAATATTTAAAAAAAAAACGAAAAAAAATCCCCAAAAACCAAACAAACTGGAAAAACTTATAGTAACTCAAAATACTGCAGAAATACGAATGTCGAGTTGTCAAGTAGAATATAATGTCTGCAGTATTTATTCGTATTTTCGACTTAATAAATGGTTTTTCGATTATTTTTTTTTCGTTGTTTTTTTTAAATATTATATTGGCTCAAGAATCAATAAAACAACAAAGAGTTGTCGTTCGTGGGTTGGAGGAAATCATCAACGAGCGATTTTCATGCAGTTCTAATATTTCTGAAGATTATTTCTATTTATTAAATGCAACAGGGGAAATATTAATCTATGCTTACTTTTCCTATTGATAATTTGAATCAAGCGCATGGAATGTATCTTGACTAAGTCCACGCACCACCATATAGGATGCTCTCGATATGTCCACATATAGGTGTTGGGGTCTCCATCTATAGCTCTATGTGAACCATATTTCTCGTCATTTTGTTGATAAGTGTCACTCTGGGCTGTTGGTTTGTCTTTCTCGATATTATCTGATACATTAAAAAAAAAAAATGGCGTTTTCTTAGTCAAGTTATTTTTTAGATGATATTACTATGACAAATATTGTAGCAAAAATCATAATCACACATAAAAAGAATGCTTGTGTCCTATGTTTTGTACCAAATCAGCAATTATGACTCATTTACAGTACAGCAATACATTAACTTTACTACCTCCTTTTTTAATAATTATTTAGATTTATGGATTTAGCGTATTATACAAAATCTAGTTGACATCCTGAAATATATGTCACACGATTGCTTTAAGATCAATTAAAAGTTGTTTTTAATTTAATCTAATATTCATCTTCACTATGGTCAAGGTATTACGAGCTTTGTTTTATGAAGATAATATATATTATTACAAATATTCATACTGGGACTTAAAAGATAAAACATTATCATTAATATGAGTTATAAAAATTCTTACCAAATACTGGAACATATGTCACAATTCCACTTGATATCACATAGTCGTTTTCTAGTAGTACACGGCTATACAGATAACATTTTTGATCCTGTACGTTGTAGGCAAAAGATAGGCAAGGTGTTTCCACGTCTTCGATACATTTCATTGTACAAATCTGTCATATTCATATAAACCATAAAATAGTCGTTATACAGCTTATCTCTCGAATATATGGAGAACAAAATGGTTCTTTCACTGAATACCTCAAACGATAAACACAGTAGGTATATGATATATAATTGTTGCTTCATTTTGTTGATGCTGGTATATTACATAAACTGGTTTAGCATTTCGACGAAAATAATCCTAGCTTATTATAAAAATCACACAACGAGAGTGAAATAAAAATGTTCAAAAACTAAAAAATGCAACCTACAGAAATTGATTTCCAAAAACTTAAATGTAGAATGACTGATACAAGCGTTACACATGGAAGCACTTTTATATCAGAATTGGATGTTATGTACTAATGTATTTTTCGTTATGAATTTTTTATATCTTTTACTGTGACGATCAACATTAAGGTGTAGATAATTATGTGTAGTTCAGAGTGTTGATTTGAAGATAAACTACGTTCACATAGACTGGAGTGCAGGTTGGGTGGATGGTAGACGACAAGTTAACGTCCATTAGATGCTGACTTGGAAGTTAGATGTTGATTTTCATAGTAGTTAGTAGTTGGACTGGTTCAATGGGATGGTCCTGCACTGTTGGTTTCACAGTTTAGAATATACAGTTTCTGTGAAGTTTATGAAATGAATAGATACGACCAGGGTTTGGAGATAGGAGGGGGGGGGGGGGGGGTGCTTATGGCAACAGAATTGTCAATTGTCACTTGTGAATCTGATGATCTGTGTCCCAGGTTTAATCCTGTTTAATAAACAGAGCATCTGGTTACGTCTTCGTATCCCATATATGGGAGTTTAGTAAATCTCAAGGAAGTGGAAATATGATGAATGGTTTAGGCACGATGACAAGGTATCAAGATTTGGTAAATGTGTTGGTGTGAATGGCACTTTAATACACAGATTTGAACCGAATGAAAAGGAAAAAAATTAAACAGTGTCTAATTACCGAGACAAACGTAGAAATATTAAATGATTAATTAACTAAAATATGATGAAAGAAATCATTACAGACATCAGAAAGGTAAACGATCCTCGACCAACCTGAAGATGGTAAGATGGCGTTTTGAAAATACATGTAAAGTACTTACGTGATGACATTTAAATTATTATAACAGATTTATTGGCTTATTATCAAAAGAATCGATTCAAACGATTACAAAGGGTGAGTTTCGCAATCTAAAAAAAACAACATTAACTGTAAATTCATGTTGCTAAATTTTCTTCAATTATCTATACTATTTAAAAAAAACTATAAAAACATCAGTTGACTCTTTGTTATTATAATATATTTTATAGTGGACACGAGTAGCTGGTGTTAGTTGTGTTGAATTTAATCTATCTACCAAATATTATTAGCGATCATTGCTCTGTGTATTGTCGTGTATTATCATCTTTCAAACGTTATATCTGGGATTATAAACAAACCCTGACTGGGCATTAAAGTAAAAACTGGGATTCAATTGTTGACATTAGTGATATTGAACACTCAACAGCTTCTTCACATCTCAATTAATAAGAACAGGCAAAAAATAACATACCTAACAAGACTGTAACAATAAGACCCAGAAATAAACTATGGGTGAGTGACGGCATTAGCAAAATCTGATAAAGATTGGCAGAATTTCAGAAAAATTAGAAACGATTATTTCTGCATCATTCGAAAAGGCAAAAGAGAATACTACAAAAACATGAACAAAAAAATCAACAATAACGACAAATTTGAGAGAAAAATTGGTGGAATCTTATTAATTTATATGTGAAAAAGAAACGAAATCCTAAAGGTAATATTCCACCCCTTGTTCACCTTTATAGAAGTGATAGCCAAGAGGAATCCCTTGATATTTCGAACAGGTCCACTCTTTTCTAACTTTAAGTAAACGTTCTAATTCTCTTCATAACAGGACTACATCAGTTTTTTTTATTGCAAACGAAGTTATTTTTTTTTTTATTTTCTAAAGAATGTAAAGATAGTAATCTCTCATTGAAATCTAAAATGTTAAGCTTATAATTAGAGAACCATATCTCTTTGAAAACAAGCACACATTTGAGAGATTTGTTCAAACATACTATAATTGGAAATGATCTGAAAGTAGTATCGTGGGGTGAATCAATTCTTAGTGAAAGACAAGTTTAAAATTTAAACTACCATTAACTGTTTCTAGTAGATAGTCGGGGGTCTGAGCAGTCTAATACAGTTATTAATATAGTGTGTTAAACTCTATTAAAAATCTGTCATACAAAGATTGATGTCACAGTAGGGAAACCTGTAATATTTGGAATGGGACATCATACTGCCGTTTATCATCAGATGATGTTATTAGTCTTTACGACCAATCAAACATCAAAAACACGAGAGTTCTTTTCACATTACTGTAGTTTTCTAATAATATATTAACGTGGTAACTTTGAATCGCCATTAATAAAAAAAAAACACGATAAACATTTAAAGGGACAGATTCGCCAGCCGTTTGACCAATTCTTTTTAGCTAAGCTAATTAGTAATAGTGATCACAGCGCACACGTCGAAATGTCAGTCTTCAAAACCATGTGTACATGAATTTCTGGGCGCTAGGTCAATACAGACAAGTTGGTTGGTCAGATTCTCCTTGGTGTGGTCACATACAATTTACATTGTACAATTAAGACTAAAATATCAGAAAACAAAAATTGAAATCTAATCTACTGGTGCTGTTGCTAAAGTTGGGCACAAGGTTGAGCCTAATTAAATACCAAGCAACTAAGTAAGAATCATGCAGTTATAAGATTACACCCTCCAACCACCAAAAAGTCAGCACAAAGCACACGGTAATGCTTTCATTAGGTACGAGTACATTCTGTAGACTCTCAAAGATGGAATTGTCGAATTGACCAACAAGTGACAAAAAAGTAAATGCCATATCCCATACCCGCTATGGTTATGATTGTCGTGAAACTTGAATTCATGAAACTGAATTGATCTTAAAGCTAATAGAGAGAAAAGGAAAACAACTCGAACACCTTTAAGATTTAAGATTTATTGAAATATGAAACTATTCTGTGGACTGTTTGAGAGTCGAGACTACAATCGAGTAACTCTCCATGAGAAGCAGTAGCTATTTTAGCTAACGACCCCAGTCGATCTTTCATCACCTGTATCTGTAGCTAGAGTTCAGGAAAAGCAACATTGTGACAAGGTATTTAATCATGATAAAGTACTTATTTTCCATACGTTTGTCCAGGTAGAATTCAAAATGCGACAACAAGGCGCAACCCTCCCATAGAGCATCTGAAAAATTGGCGCCGCCACTGACTGTTTTTCTGCTTTATGAAGGCAATGGCGCTACAGATTATCCCTCTAAAGTAAAATCATGTAGGTGAGGTTCAGTATGGTTGGTTCTCAAAAACTGAAAAGGCTGTGATCAATATATTCGTATGTTTTAAAAACTTTTCAGATAAAAGTAACGATCTTTGGACAATTGCACCTCTAACGTCCAAACTAATAAAATAGGCCAATTATTGTCCATCGCAGATGATGATATATCACTGTGCTGTTCAGTGATTTAAACCCTTCTTTCACATCAAATATAAAGGATTTCTATCTAGCTATAATTGGTGAACCAAATTGTCATGATTTTCATGTATGATATCAATTCCTTTGAACAAAAACATCGGAGAAAGCTATACATGTACATATTAAAGGATATGGAAACATTACAAAAACCTTTGCATAAGAATAAAAAAAAATATGTCACGTTAAAAAAAAAAAGAAATTACCATTTATCATCATTAACGGTTCAATAAGATGAGGCCAATTAATTTTCATTGGTGGGGATTGGGGGGATGCTTAACCTGTAGAGATAACTGAAATGCATGGTAAATGCTATACGTTCGTACGCTCATGTTTAAAGTGTAGCGTATATTGCCTTTGTCTAAGTCCGTTTGTAGTTCTTGTACAAATTTTACAGACTGCAGGAGTGGGAGTAGGCTTTAGGTTGGCGACAAGTTCTATGTGTTTTTAAATAGATACAGCTTTACCTTTCCTGTATTTGGTTCAAGGATTGTAATCTTTTTGTAGTAACGATGATATCAATTCCTTCGAACAAAAACATCAGAGAAAGCAATACGTGTACTGTACATATTAAAGGATCAAGAAACATCAAACGTACTTTGCATCAGAATTATAAAATTGTCACATTTAAAAGGGAACTAACCAAATGGCCGTTTCAAGAGTAACGAAATGAGCTTCCTCCTCGTTTTGTCTTAATGACCTACAAACCTAACGCATAAATCTCACCAATTGCAAAAAGAGCAGGCTAATAAATCAGATTTCCTCTCATCATACAATAATTTATCAGAATTCAATTTGACATTTCTGGTGTTTTATTGAAGAGCTTTTAACACTTTGTGTCTTAGATTGATTTGCCTGTTAGATTAAATCGTTTATCATATTAGAATAAGTTAAGGCCACATGAAATAAATTTTCAGTGGGAAAAATCGGAAATTAAACTTGTACAGAAATGCATTTTATACGTTTGTACACCCACATGTACAAGGTAACGTATATTGCCGTCGACCGTGTCCATTCTTCACTTCGATTTTCTTATAGAAATGATAGAGACTGCAGTTTTTATCCGATTTTGATGCAATTAGGTATCCATGTGTATATTTAAGGTTTCTTAGCTAATGTCCCTGAGTTGGTGTATACACAGGCCCTTGAAATTCTGTCAATGTTAATAAAATATGGGCAACGTGGAGAAAGTGTCAACGTATATAAAAATAAAGAGAAGACATCCAATGGCACGACAGGCACAAATATAAACAAAGCTATTTATCTGTTCGTGAAAGGATATGATGCGTATTGAGGTCTAGCTGCATGAGTAAATCATCAACACTGTCTAGTACAACTTCATCAGATAAAAGACTGGTAAACCGGGATCTCATTACATCACATGCTGGTTTACATAATAACTGCAAACAGAAATGAAATGAATAAGTATTAGTGAACAAAAGAAAAGCAGGGAAAATAATAATGTCAAGAGAAAAGCAACGCAGAACGCCCAGAGAAACACAAGGCAAAGGGTTTAGAACATAGCAATGAAAAAAGGCTAAGAGAACAGCAAGACAAAAGGCTAAGAACAAGCAAGGCAAGAAAAAATTAACAAGACTAAGAGCACAGCAATGAAAAAAGGCTAAGAACAAGCAAGGCAAAAGAAATTACGCAAAAGGATAAGAGCACAGCAATGAAAAAAGGGTAAGAACAAGCAAGGCAAGAGAAAATTACGCAAAAGGATAAGAGCACAGCAATGAAAAAAGGCTAAGAGCAAAGTAATGACAGGCATTGCAGCTTCTTCAGATAAACTCTATACATTGATAATGTGTCTGGAAGGTTCAGAAAATTAAATTCCGTTTGTTCGATCCATTTTTTGACAAAAGATTCTATACTATTTACAATATTAATATATTATCATACTTCCGGTTTTTACAGTCATGGAACCTAGGATGTGGTAAGGATTCAGTTAGTTTTTAAATACCAATAAAAACATATGGTAGGTTACTTGTGCTTCAACTAGGAGCTATGAATCTATAATCCATAGTGCATTCAAGTACTGTGGTATACATATACTATACAGGGTCGCCATCAGACCTTTTATGGGAATATATACCATCAAATAAAACACAGATAACAACCTGAGAGGATTATAATGACAAACCTTGGCTATAGTGATCATAGCTTGAACAACATCTGATGTATTGTGTACTGGTAGTATCTGTAAACTGGATGCTAAAAACCTATATATAAACAATCAGAAAATTGAGAACATAAAATACACGTATAAACACTATTTTAAGGGACTCGGTCGGTTGGAAATAATAGAAGCGTAGCCTACTACGCCGCTGTCTTCGAAATATTTTCAAAGAAACAGAGAACATCTGTCGATTTTTCGCCTTAGTCTTTTGGTTCCTAGATTTTAATACTTAATACAATCACTTTCAGTTTGAAAGTTTCATAGAAGATGAGCAATTTTCATAAGCCTAATAATTACGTAGATAAAAGACTTTCTGCTTTAAAATTTCAAACCATACATTGTTGAATGATCTTCAATTCCCGAAGTAATGACAGAGGTTTAATTTCCTGCGAGCTGAATGAAAATTACGTTGACAATTTGAAATTTGAAACGAGTAAGATGTAGAAGAATATAATATTACGCTTGGAATTTGGATTACAAATGCATCATTTTTTTGTCCCCCGAATAAAAAATATTTGCTTAAGAATACGACTGTAGTATGATAACCTACAATACTATGATCCAATCGGTAGTCCGTAATACCTAAAAAACAAATTACATAAAAATATATACATAAATATGGTCATTAACAGAAACAAGATCCTACGTATGAACTGAATGTAACAGGGGTCACGTTCGAAATAAACAAGATATCAATTTCAAGATAATTTAAGCATGAAAGGAAATTTATTATTAATCAGTAGTTCCACCCTTTGGCTCGAATGTATATGATGAATAACAAGGTTGTTGTGAAATACGGTTAACACAGACGGAAAGTCTGAAACAGTCAACAAAGGTGGAAGAGTAAAGACGTTATCTAAAGTCGACTGGCGATTCAAAGCCATTCGGCGGCTCTCGGCAGTGTCAAGCTGGAACGTACGATAAGAACCATCTTATCTAACAGACACATATATACAATATAAAGTTGAAAGTATGTCCAAGAAACTTCCGGGTATCCCAAAAGGGATCTAGCACTCTCGACGTTTTCTTATCGTTAATTCTCTCATATAGATATTGTAATACATGTATTGGGCTTATAATATATAGATCATCTATTTAATAATAACTTGTTAATTTCATTGTATGCGAACCTGAAGTGAGATTTTCATTCTAAACTTAACACGGGTAAGGTTTAAAAAGCTGGTTAATAAAACAGATAAGACTCTAAACATCTTCACTTATATATAATTTTTTAGTCACAAAAATGCTGCGGAAGACAGTGGTTAGCAGAATATGAGAGTATGAGACTGGACGTTTTGATCAATAGTATCTTGTCGGAAGATCGTAAGTTCTTATCAAATTAATGGGGTTTATAGAGCTGTGAGGCATTCTAGTACCAAACTATATTTAGCTTTAAGGGTTAACAGCTAGGAAGATAGCCCTACCTTCTCTGTATCTGGTTCATAATAGAATGTTCAGTTTCACCGTGGAGAGAGGCCCTCAGTAATATATAACCAATTCTATGAACTTGAATAAATTTGTTGATCCTAAAATTACATGGAAATTCCATTACAAGGATGAAAGGGGTGTAGATCTAAAGCAAAATGCATGATAAAGATGAAGAATATTGGTCCGTTACAACTTCAGTGCCCATAGACTTCGGCGTTGGTTAAAGCCCGGTACTGGTTGCTTGGAAATCCTTATGGAGTATCATTGTCTCACAACTGCATGATGTAACAACTAACATACGAGCTTCATTCGAACCGTATAGGCTAGATTTCATAAAATCGTACATCTGGCTTGCCTATCATTGCGTATGTATAATTAATTTTTAAGTGACGTTAGTCTAATTTATCGATATACTGTATTACTAATACAGATTAGAATCTGTCGATGTGTTGGTAATTAGGCTAATTATAGACGAACAACGGAACAATAGGCCTATATACTTATTGGGTCTTAGCCTACCTTTCTACACATGAAGAATGGAGTAGGACTACCCCATGATGATCGACTATGAGCTTATCTGTAGTTGATAGCAGCATAAAAGCTACACAAGATAGTGGGAATATAACTGTGTCCGGCAGGATCGAGTCTGAAACTATAATATAGTGTAGTGTAGGCTACCTACTAATTCCAATGTGTCCAGCTGAAAGTTAGGAAACATGAACTAAAATTTATTCTTGCTAATATAAATCAAACCTAATATAAAACGAAAGATCTGCCTATATTTTAGCCTCTGTTAGCCAGCCTACTCCAGTTGACAATTCTGGCAAAATAGTTATCAGGAGCAACAAATAGAGGCGATGTTTCAGACTAAGATGAACAAAATATTTCTTGAATCAATCACAATTTATATAGACTCTATGTCATTGCCTTAGCCTACCTCTAAGTTTTATATTCTTATTTCTTAAAATGCCGACTAAATCAGTTCTGTCAAATTTATGGTGTAAAATCACTGGCCAATTATTCATTTTATTACTCAATTCACTTCAGTTTACTAACAAATCGTCTGCTCAACTACGAAGTATTAATTGTAGTCTGATGCCATCTACTAAGTGCTCTAAGGGGAACAACTCTGAGTTTGTTTTTGAAGTAGCCATTTTTCTCTGAAGGTCGACTGCTTGTTGACTTGGAAGAATGGCATTCACAAACGATGATTATTTGCCTACCTTTGAGGAATTAACTGTTCCAGAGATTCATCTAACTTCGTCGGTTTTGGTCTCAGGTGCTCACTTGTATGGCAAATATTGTGACAATATAAACAAGGTAAGTAAAACTTGTTTTAATAATGGTGTCTAAGTTTTCCAAACCACCCCTTTTACATCTGATGGTGTCAAAGAACGAGGAGAGAATTGACTTGAATTTTCTGAATTCTATTGAATGTTGATTTATTTTGCATTAAGTTTATTAATCTAACAAATAGACCCTGTATACAGCAATGGTTAGCATAGCAGCTTTCGTCTACGATGATTTGACTATAAATAAGTACCGGTACAAGTTTATCCACTGTACTGGAAGGCTCTTGCTGTCTTCTTTTTTTATTTTACTTAATTGCCTACTGCCTCACCTTCAAACTTTTGTCACTCTTGTTGTATGGCCTAGAAATCCCCTAAATTTATTCAAATATGAAATAAGGTAAATTTCTGCACAGTGAATACATTTTATTTTAATAGGAATTCATGCTATGTTTCCAAGAAGAATCTGATCCAAGAAAATGTGTCAGTGAAGGCAAACAAGTTACAAATTGTGCATTTGAGTTTTATGGTAAAGTCAAAAAGAACTGTCATGAAGAATTTACTAGTTATTGGAAATGCATTGATAACTGTGGCAGTAGTAAAATGGACTTTTCAAAGTAAGTACATCATATACAAGTGTTGCATCCATTCCATTGAGCATACACACTGTATTCTGCCTCATTAGCCTATAGATCAACAATGTGCATTATTCGCTCAGGTGGAAAACAGTGAAGATGGAAATAGAAAGCAAAATTTTTTAGTTTGAAGTACAATGAAAGTATTGTAGAACCAGTAATGCATATTTCCTTGTGAACTCTCCTAAAGAGATGTCATGCTGATAAACACCAGCAATGAGTGATTATGCCCTGCTTGACTCAGTGAACAAAGTGGGCTATATGATGGGTAATCCTGTTATTAAGGAACCACCCCTTTTTATTACACAGAATATATGCAACAAAGCGTGGTACTTTCCCCCCCACCTGAGATGTACATGATTTGTATATTGTTGCATAGACTTTTTCCTTTTTTGTGAAATGAAATAATGATCAGTAAAATGCTAAAAAAAAAATTAAAACAGTTATTTACCTATACATGTAATAATGTTTCAACTTTTTCTTAACTTCATTTTAGATGTCGTAGAATGCAGGCTCCATTTGATAATTGTGTGAAAGAGAAGATAGGAGTTGAACGACCACCATTAGGTTATTTTACTAGATTAAGAGAACATGAAACATCTAGACCCAAGCCTCAATTGAAGCCATTAGAATTACCCTATCCAGAGCCCTTACCAACAGCACCTGATGTTTCAAAAATACCATCTCCAGAAGGTGCAAAATGTTACGGAGGGATTAGTTTATAATCTGGAGGAGAATTAGACAGTCTTATAATTTTGCATTGTGTACATGATAGATAAATTAAATATCTCAAATATATTTGATTTTTTCGCTCCAATGTCCAATATTTGTTCTGCAGATCTAAGGGAGTGTTTCTAGGTATTACTTTATTGTTAATTGGAATGGTATAAAGAGAAGATAAAAGTTTTCCTGTACATCAGATGATTAAAAAATCTTTATAATACCCATGAGAACATTGCTTAAAGTTTCAGTTTTCTGAAGAGTCAATCAGCATGATGAGACAATTATATTTTTTTAGATGTATTAGTAGACATCAACTATATCCTGAATTTCAAACTAATAATAATATGTACAAGACTGTAATCACTGATGTACACATACTAAAAACAGGATTGACCAAAAATATGTTTTAATTTTTACAATAATATGCAGTTTTCAATAATCATATATATGACAATAGTACAGAAATCTATAAACACATATGGCAACCGAAACTGAAGTTGATGATTCGAATTCAGGTTCTAGTTTGATATTTACATTTTTATACACCAACGTCTAAATCAGGCTGAAGACGAACCCATTCGTTAGAATGTAACACAACACACTCAATTTGAGACAAGTACTATGACAAATATTGTAACAATATAAATATACTGGTAATATTATGCTCAAGACTATTTGTTAATGCTATACAATATATATATATATATATATTACAGTAAATAAATTCATTGTTAGTGAAAAAACAACAGTAAAAGTAATAAATGTAACAGAATTATGAACACATTATAAATACATAATTTCATCTGATTCAAATGCACTTTTAGATATAATGTCTCTTCTATATTCTGTAGCTACTGCAGGCATACCATCCATCTATAACCTGGCAATATTCATTTTGCATTTTACTTGTACCAGATTCAAGTCAATGCTCAATAACAAATATATCAAAATTTTCTTACTATTGACAATTTGATTCACTGATTTATAAACATTCCTTTAACTGTCTTCAGATCGTTCTATAATAAAATACCTACAGATAATTTAGAAAATGAAATATCTAGTCAAATCATACGTACATCATATCTTTGATTTATAAAAATATAGAAATAATGGAATGCAAGAGTGAGCAAAATAGTTAATGCATATTTATTATGACTCTAATCAATAATTTCAGAAACTATGATTGATTAATATCAAGGCAAATATCAATTTGACAAACCACAGGTGTCTTTTTTTTTTAATATTTCCAATTTTCTTAGGTTTATTTGGCATTTTGGAGATAAGAATCTGTCATGTTAATCACATTATAATCGTTGGAAGTTGGAGTATGTTCCAATTTAATTGGTATAAAGTCAAACATCATGAGCTTTGTTGTGCAATTACCTTATATGGCAAATATGGCACTACTTCAGAGGTAATAAATACAGCATAAGTTAAAGAAATACACAAAAACAACATTGTTACAATCCTTAGATGAGGCCGAGTCAACATTGAAATTAGAGTGGAGAGTGGCATCAGGTGTTGTGAATGAATGAGTATTGTTTCTATTTATAGGTATAGTGTTTAGGTATATCTTGGCCCCTCTTGACTCTCCATCAACGGATCTTCTTCTGAGCTTACTGAGTCTTCCTGAATATTATTTTTCTGTTGAATATTTTGAAGTTCTTGCTCTGAAGCCTTACAACAAGGTAGAAATGATAAGTCTATAAGATTATTATATAATGCTGTACCAATCATTAAAAATATAAACCCATCAACTGAAATATAGATCATCAATATTATTATTATAGTTATAGTTGAACTGTTTGAAATCATATGACCAAAAATGTTAATCAGTAAAACCTATATCAATGTAGGCCAGTTAAGATGAACCCCACCCTAAAAGATATCAAAACAATGGGCTGAATGTTAGACAGGACCATGTCCTTGTGCGGCCTATTGGACATAATTCTGACCCATGTAAAATAACAAACAATTAAAAATGGAAACTATATAATGATAAGTTAATATTAATGCTTTCAAAAATAAGTGCTCACCTTGTAGTAAACCATACTGCTTATCAAACGGTTCACCAAAATTCTGTGGACAAAAATAAAATCAATACTATTTCATAAGATGCAAAAACAACAACAAAAGTTAATAAAAAGGGCTTTTAGAAGACTTTGAGAGGAAAACTATCTTTGTCATTCGTATTATTTGAAGAGTGTCACATGGCATCAGGCTTGAATTGTAATTTAAGTTTTGCTGTAATATGCCTGAGACCATTACTGGATTTTAAATCACAAACAATATGAAAGAAATTTGCTGCTATAGGTTTATAACACAGGACATTTTCTACACCTCTCAAGTTTTTCATGTCAAAGAACATGCTATGATAACATGATGGAGTAAACGTTAATCTATTTTCTGGCAATCAAAAAGAACAAAGAATATGGCTTACCTTATCAAAAACATAATAAATAAATAAATCTACTACCCAGACCATTATAGTACGACAGGCGTCAATTAGTGTTCGATGTACCGCTGAAATTAATATACATGTATAATTGCAAATAGAAGTACCATGAACATGCCATTCTTTTAGCATTCCTGTTGCCTTCTGTTCATTTATTTTTTTCCAGTCGGGCACTTTTTGAACTATTTTTTTGAAATCCAATTCAATTGCAAAGTAGGTAAACCTAAGAAACCTCTGATAAATGCCATTGTAGAGCATTATTGAATATAAACTCATATATTTTAATAAATGTGTCCATGAACATACCTGTTAATGATTTAGTCACTGCCAAACCAAAATAATTATAGAATGCTATAGAGGCTAGGTAGAGTAATGATAATATTAACAGTTTGGAACTGTTTCCTATTTGATATATAGCATCTAAACTGTTCTCATAACTATCATTGACTTGTTTTCCTGGGATGAAATACATGGCTGGTAAAACTGCCTGAAATTAGAATTAACATGACAGCTTTATTGGCCACTGAGAACAGACAACACAATGAGTTTGCAATTAGAAATCAAATACAACATTTTTCATTTGGTCATATAGATAGAGGAATCTACAATTACTGCTGCTTCACAAGTCTCATAAATGCTGTTGTTTTGCTCTAGTTTTTTCCCAAAATCATAAACAATCCAAAACTTTGCTCCACCCACCTATGGCTATGTTCAACAATTTTTCTCTGACAAATATTTCATTTCAAAGACAGTGAATATCCTGAGTATTTGCTTTATGTCAGAAAAGCATAATTGTTTGGGCAAAATCTATCTAGCCACTGCAAGTGTAAAGCTTAATTGTCTAACTTTGATACCAATCATGAAAGGAATGGACACTTACAAATGACATTAATAAGACACCAAATGTTCCCTCCATTCCAACCACCTGAAATTGACAGGCAAAACTCTTTTTATTTCTGAATATATATAGCTTTTAACAATAAGTATGTTTCAGTCTGCATAAATGTTCTATTTTGAGCATGTAATTAAATATAGTTTTATAGAATTGATAAGAAGAAAAAACAATTTGTGTGTAAAATCATTAACTTTTATTGATGGCATGTCATTAAAAGCCATTATTTTCAAATATCTAAAAGTCTTACTTGTAAAGGATGATAACTCTTGTTTTTTAGGAATGTTTCTTCTATCACCATTTGACTGGCACTGATTATCTGACTGCCCAAAATCAATGCAATACCTGAAAACATATGATATGATGTCTCTTGAAAGTGTATGTGTGGATCACAATGTAATTTGCACAGGACCTAAGGGCACACTAATTTCTGTTTTTATGAGTAAAAGGTCCAATACCTAATAAGACATTAGAAATATCTACTGTAAACTGAGTATATAGTTTCAATTGTTCAATAACATTACCTTCCTTAAATATAATTGGAACCAAAGCACATTGTTACCATACGGATGTGATGCATGAATAATAAAATTTAAAATGAAAAATGAATTCTGAAATAACATATCTTGTAATTGATTTGGTTAAAAGAATATTTATTTCCACTATTTCACATTTCAGTGTGATTGTGAGAAGTATATAAAATATTCATTGTGAATGCCATTCTTTGAGAAATAGCTGTACACAATGTGTAGGTCAACTTACCTAACAGGGCTTGTGAACCATTATTACCACTGGAAGATTTAAACACACTAGAACATCCTACCAATACTAACCCTATCATTACAGTTATCATACCACACCAATGTTTTAATACTAATTTACGCTTTAAAAATATTTTCTGAAAGGTAAAAGTCAGATGAGCACAGAGAAAGTCAGAGTATTTGAGTCAGCTCATATATCATCTAAATATTGATACTGTAGGGGCATATTCCAATCACTAATTCTAATTCTTGATGGACATGGTTCTCAATCAATCAGATTCATTGAAGTTCTATGAAATTGCAAATGTAATTCTGTGTAGAGATGACCAAGTATAATGACTATACTATACTAATCATAGTATTTAAGACTTTAAGTTTTCATATCAGCTATCTGTATCACTTTTCAAGGACATTTTTCCATGCGAAATATAAATTTAATGTAAATGAAGGATATAGTTTTCAGCACAATGACTAACAGTCTTTTCTATTAATTTTATATCCATAATTTGGATAATTACTGACAGCTTTATCTGGAACATTATCTGGAACTTCCAGTCGTTTCACATTAATTCATACAGAGTTGCACAATGATGGAACTATTCTACTTACTGATAAGATTCCTGCAAATATGATGATGGAACCACGTAACATCTGCCAGACAGAGGCATCAACATACAGTAGACCAATACCAGCTAGTGAGGTACCAATTAAATCACATACAGTGGGAATCAGAAATACCCATTGGAATATTCTGAAATATATCAGGAATATATGTTAACCATTGCCAACAGTCCTTATATGGTAAAATATTGCAACTTTTTAATAACGACGATCTTAAAACCATGAATAGCGAAATGGCAATCAACGTTGAACAGTAGTTTTAAGAATAAGAATCTTAACAGCATTTGTTTGGTCAAGTCAAATAAACTTAACAACAAAATAAAAATGAGCATTGCATGATCATTTATTACGATCTGCATAATTGGAACATTAATTGAGAAGCATTTATTTATTGTTTTGAAAACTTGATCAGACTATGGTTCCAACAAACAAAAGATTTTTAATAAAATAAACACAAAAATGTTTGAGGTAGTACTTTTGTATTGTTAACATGTATAGGTTAAATGGTCGAAAGCTTGTCAATAAGTCTAATAATGATCGTAGGATGAGGACCGAAGGTCACATTTACTTGGCAAATATATTAATGTCAATATTGGACTCATGGCCTTTGCCAGTACCATTATATTGGATTATGGTACGCCGAGATCAAAGGGTGAGGACACATCTGTATTTTTAAGAGTAGTTTATAAGCTGACCTTTTATGTTCAGGAGGTTTGATTGGTGCATTTCCTGTATTTTCAACCCAAACATTCTACAATATAGACAGAAGAATCGACTTAGTTTACTAGATATACCTCCTTTCCTAAGATGATAAGAGTAAGAGGTCTGGTAAGAGTTTGTTCATATTTTACTACCAGAAGACAAGAAAATAAGGATGAAATTCAAGTTGAACTAATTACAATAGGAATATGACTATTGTATTATCTAGTTAAGGAATAGTTCTTATTCAATCTTAATTATTTAAAAACAGATGAAATATCAATTAAAGTATAGTCTAAAATAATAAAAATACCAGTTTTCTATAGGTGTTTAGTTCCCTTCTTCTAACTATCAATAGACCAATTAGACATCCCATCTCCCCTGTAACAGACAGAAAGATATAGTGATTTATCATATATATACTCTTACAAATCAGCCAAATTGTGTGGTATTTATGAAACATTATCTTTATAATCTGTTCTCCTCTCTGTACCCATGTAATGTGAGGAATATTATCTCTTGTGCATTTTATTTTTATTTGAATGTAAATTTTATGACACCCTTTATAAGAAAAGCTCTGATAAAACAAAATACATGTAATGATATGTGAATCATATAAATGCACCATATGAATAGTACTTATTATCTTTGAATCTCCCTAACCTATTACATAGTAACTATATGAGCATAGGGGATGAAATTTGTGAATATTTCAAAATAAATCAAAAAGGCCTACTACTAAATTAGGCTAATGGAAATGTTACCTATGAACATAATCCATGTTTGGAACCAAGGATGATCAAAATCATGATCTGTGGCTGTGTTATTTTTAGATTTATCTGGATAACCAATGGCTCTGAAAAAAACAAAACAATGTAACTCACATGACTTTTGGAATCGTTTCCTTTTAAAAATGACCTGGCTGCCAGTAATTTTAAAATAGATAAAATAATATTTGCATAACATGTCAAACAACCTCATACCCTACTTTAAAAACTTTTTCTTACAATACAATATCATGGAACCTGATATTCCAAATCACATGAGAATGATCAAAATGACATTAAACTTCTGGCAGGTAACTTCGTATGCTCAGATATTGAATCCCTTTGGCTGTGCAACAATAAATACATGTAATAAAAAATACATCAGGCAGCAGGTGGGAAATATTCAAAGTGAAATAATCTTTAAAATGAGTCATTCTATCACTGCCGTAGCGCAAAGCGAATCAGGAAATCGAAAGTAGAATCTTGTTTTTCTCATTGTGTGAACTGAAAAATGGCTATAACTCTAATCACGGTCAATAAATTTAACTGAAAATTTGTAGTTATATAAAACACTATTCTATAACTTACGAGCAGTCATTTTGAGCTTTTTTACTGATTGTATTAATACTTCCAGTCACTAACATTCCAATCATCAACAAAACTTGAACACAGGTTAACGCCATCTTGGATCGTCATGTGATCACAATCACGTGACTTTAGTGACAGAAAACAGCTGATTGTAAAATGAACCGGTATGTCAGGTTGACAACGGATCAAAGCTGAGCATTTCAATAAAAAACTACGTATATATTTTCGGTAATTGCGTTTAACTTGAAAATGGAGGCCAGTAGAAGACTCTAACATAGTGTCCATATCTATAATCAGAGCCACAGGGTAGCCTAATGCATTGCGGGTTAAGTCAACTTGCCCCCCTTACCAAATTGGACACGATAATTGCTCCGTAAAAAGTCAAATTGGTAACAAAACCAAGTCAGAATATCGATTAATTCAAATTTTGAATTTGTACTATATTTGTCAAGAATTGACAAAAATATAACAGATCATAAAGAAAAATATATAAAATTGATTTTATTAACAAGTAAGGAATAACAAAGCATAAATCACCATCATAACAAAATAAAACTATCATTGTCTTAGAACAAGAACAAGAATGAGGTCTGGGTACAGTTAAACAATGATATTTGTGCATAACATCATAAATCTCATACAGTAAAGAAAATTGTGTGAAATGGAACTATCTTCACTTTAGAAGACATGAAAGCAGCTAGACTTGTTATTAAAATGCCATAAGATATAAGAGACTCTAACAAATACATGAAGAGAGATATTGTTGATATTTCCATTCATTGTCCCAGAAGCCTGCACACTGCCAACCACCAGGACCCTTCCATCTTGATTCAGATCCAGATATAACATAGTCTGGTAACAAGTTAGAAAACTGAAATGAAAAACTTTTACTGTGACAGTTCTGAAAATAATTTTGCTACAGACAGAGAAACATGTTACTCTGAGTTTTTCAGTTTGATCTGAGAACACTCAGTATGAAACTCTGAGCAACAACATGTTTCAGATTCGGTTTTAACATTCTATAATAAAATTCAGATAAAAATCCAAGAATCAGAAAAAAACTTACAGGTGATCTAGTCATTGGTGGAATGGTAGGTTTAGCTAATGATATCACATCTTTTAGACCTTCTTTATTACTACCAAATAGAATTAAAGCTAAATTTCTCTGGCCATGAGGAGCTAGGGTGAATAAACCTGTATTGGTTTGGTTGGTGTATTTACAAGTTCCTAAAGTTATACTGTTATCTACAAAACATACAATATTTTAACCAAATATGCCCCAAGTATATTACTCTGATATGAAATGAATCACAATCTTGCAATTCCACGTAAGTTAAATCTTTTGACACATTGTGAAAAGCTACTACTAAAATCTATGGACCTGTGGATAGTGATATCATTTAATGCTGAGTCTAAGTGGAATATCATGCACAAGACATGTTTGAATCTACCACTAAAATCCTATAACACTATAATATTTATATTGGCCCAACAATATGATGTCAGACAAAGAATGCTTAAGTTACTTAAGAAATTGCTCATCTATTTACCTTTTAATCTGACTGGTAATTTTGATAAATAATCACCAGTAAATTTATTTTCTTCTGGTGAACCAAGTAGTATTATATTTTTATTTTCTAAAATCAAGCAGAGACTTACATATTAACCTCATACAATAGTGCTTTTTGATAGCAGGGCTGTTGATTTGACTGTAAATGTCAGTCACTTCTGATTGGAAGGCCATATCGGTTTAGAACTATTTTCATCACAAGAAGCCAGCTGTCGAGGATGTTTCTTGTTGTAATTATTTTCTTTGTAAAGATTGTAGCCGAGTCAGACCTTCTGCAGATGCATAACATTGAACTTAGAGGTTATTAAGTTCTGTGGATTAGAAAAAATAGTTGGTTCTAAAATGTAACTAAAGGCAAGAAAACTTTTTACCTAATTGATTAGCTGTTATCTCAATATCTAATACTATATTAGCTATTGTATCTGATGTTAATAAAAATAAATTGGCTATATATACACTGGATTCTAATAATAATTTATTGATGTCTTCATTATTACCACTAGAACCTTAAATAATACAACAAAATACAACCAATATTTTCCAATTATCCAAATACAGCTGCATCAATTCAAATGAATGTTATAAATTATTCATCCAATAGCAACAATATACAACCAATATTAATTGTCCTTCTAACAGCAATACTAAAACTATCATTATTACAAGGGTTACAAACCTTTCTTAAAATGAGTAAGAATTAAATGGAGTTTGCTAACCTACCAACAACTAGTATAAAATCTTTTTCAGCTATTCTTCTGGCTGGACCCAAATTTTCTGGTCCTCTTTCACCAAGCTTGTAAATATCTTCATGTGTTATAAGCCATTTACCTTAATAAGAAAATATAAACAAGGGTAATCAGTGGAAATAAAATAAATTGCCAAAATCCATTGTTAAGATCTAAACCAGTAAAAAAATTATTACAGTCACCTAAATAAAAGATTAAATCATCCATGTTTGAAAGTGGTATAAACTAAAAGTCAATGACAATTCATTGTGCAATAATCGATACAGAAGCCATATGACTTGCCAGGCTTGGGAATTTAAACTATAGGTAATAACAATTTTATAACTGTTTTGATATGTTGTCTTACCATCACGCAATTTAAAATAATGTAACTGATGTTGGTACATTTGTGAGATCTCTGACTGTGGATAATGTGTATCATCAATGTATATATCATAGTTCTCCCAATCTATCCCACGTATACTAGAATCTTGTAGTTCAAATCTTTTAACATTGGTAGTAATCAGAGTTATCTTCTCACCTTCTTTTTTCACCTAGAGGAAAACAAATGAGTTGCAATGGGGAATGGCGCTTGCACAGTCAATTAGAGCGTTGGGATCTTTAAATTGGGATCTTCAAGTTGGGATCTTTAAGTTGGGATCTTTTAAATTGTTAATGACAACATGTAATGTCATACAATCAATCGTGGGTTCTAATTTTGTAAAAGTATAAAATGTGTAAAAGTTGAAGGAATTAAATTTCACAAACATAATTTAAAAATCTCGGAGCAAAAATTTCATTTTCACTGCATATTAAACATGGATTCAGCCCACAAAATATTCCAGAACGTATGTTGAAAAGTACATATTTTAGAATGATGGTCTTTTGGTATGATGATCAGCCAGATATGAGTGAGAAGAAACCGTGTTGCGAAGAATCCATGCTTACCTTTATATCACTTGTTCTGTAAGGAATAATCTGTTGTAAGATTCTTAAACCTTTTAACCCAGAACCTAAAGCTGGATTTACAGTAGATAAAACAAACTCTGTATCACTGGACTGATATTTAGACCAGCCTTCCTCATTTTCACAATTACCATCGACTGAACAAGATCCTTTCTGATTGGTTAATAGGTGTTTAGTAACAAAGTCTCTGATTGGTTCATCATTGACAGCACCACCATCATTGGTCTTACTGAAAAGAAATTTCTGATTAAGCCATATTGGCATTCAAAACAATTCAACATGAGTTTTTCATATACACTGTATCAGTATCCTAATCTTGTAGTTAGTAAGATTTAATGCCACACATTCTTACCCATCTGAAACACCTATTGCCATCCTGAAATTGAATTTGCCAACTTGACATCCCTTTATATATAAGCAAAGTGATAACGATAAAAAACAAGAGCTTATTAAATGTTAATTAATATTGCCTGCTTAGTTCTCATACTTAGGCAATTAATTTGGCTACTCTAAACAATTGATCTTGTTCATTGCATCTATATTATGTATGCTTGACACAGTGATCCACTAAATATTGGTACCCATGGAGTTGTTGTTTTCTGTAAACATATCCCACCTGGTATCCCACCACCAATGTTCTTTACCAGGTAATTCTGTATATTGAACCTGGACACTAGCTTCATGTAACAGTCTGACCATTCTACGGCTATAATAGGGGTGTACTGTTTTATCTGCAGCTCCTATTCTAACAAACACTGGCATTCCCTGTAAAATGATTTATTTAACATATCATACAGAAGTGTGTTATATATGTCATAGCTTGTTCCCCAAACTCTAATTACACTAGTTTAGTTACTGAATCTTAATACAATTCAAATCTATATGTATTTATTAATACCTAGACTTGAATTTTGTCTAACATGTGTTTCAATTTCTGTTATCTTTATTTATTTCGAGATCCTACAGTTAATTTCATCATCACCAATAAACATAATGACTGGGTTCATATATCCAAGGTTAAAAAATTCAAGATCTGAGGTTCATTTACCTTTAAATTTGAAACATGTTTATCAGCATCATTTTCAGAAATACAGGATTCCATGATTAATTTGACTATTGGATCTGTATGGCTTGTAGATACATCATGTCTGAAAAAACAGGTTTACAGTCAGCGAGACAGTCAAGATAATAAATGGAGATGTGTTGAAAACATAGGCTCAAGAAAGAGAAACATTCGCTCCCTGTGAGAAAATTTGAGATATATAGACTCAAGCGAAGTCCTAACAATGTTTATGAACAATATGAATTCATGACAAAAATGGAAAAATATCTAACGTTCTATAATGTCCCCCTGGCCACTGGAAGTAAAACAAACTCACTTAAAGAATAAATTGCTGTCACCATATTCTTCTTTCTTTATCCATCCCGCTAAACTGACAAGGGCCATAACTCTATCTGGATAATGAGTAGCTATATGCCAGGCTCCATGTCCCCCCATAGAATGACCTGCAAATTCAAACCATACATCAAGTTAATCCTGATTAGACATAAACTTTAGCCTCTACAAGATTGATCTGACAAAATGTCCAGGGCAATAACCTGTTTTACTAGAAATGTGAGCATATATACCTGCTATAATTAAATGTTCTGTATCAACTTTAGGTTTCGTCCATGAGGCTTCTTCGACTAACTCTTTCAGAGCTTCAATAGATCTTAAAGCTGTTAATAAACCAGGACCTTCCCAGTTGTGAGCTCCATGTCTAAAACAAAGTAAAAAATATACTTCTATAAATAAATATGAATACATGTAATTATATAAATCTCTGCAACAATTTCAACAGACATCATAGGCTAAAATTATTACCTTAACATTTTAAACCTTTTGTTAGAGTTTATAAAATTAAAAACTGCAGAGTTAATGTTCATATTGAAGTGCTATGGCTTGCAGCTTACCCTATTGAGTTTAAAGGATTGATTTTTGAAATTTTCTACTTGGAAAACATTTCATGAGAAAAAATTGTTTACCTAGTAGGTGCTAACAACCACATACCATCAACTCCAAAAATAAATTCATCATTGACCATATATTTATAGCTATCAGCTTGGTTCTGTGGTGGGACTGTGGTACCGTGTAATGTTAACATCACAGGGTACGATATTCCCTTACTTTCCCCTATAGGTTTAATAGTAGCAGCATGCTGTATGGATCCATCATGATTCATGAAACTGAAAACCACAGACTGATCAATCCCTCGACATCTTAGATTCATACCCATAGTTTCACTACCTTCTGATGTAGAAATCTTAATTTCAAAATTAATTCCCCCTTCTTTACATGTTGATGTTACTAAGGAATCTGATGATAGCTTGATGATTATTGGCCGAGTCTGTCCAGGTGCTATGGAAACACTAGATTCAATGGCCTTCACCTTTATCATTGAACTCAAACCACCATGTCGTGTAATTTTGATATTTTTTAACCATTTTGTTGGATGATAGTTTGAAACAGGAAGAGTAAAATATCGGCCAAAAATATAACCATCGTATAGATCGGGTAAAAATTTAGGATCTAAAATTTCAAATGTTTTCTTCATGGCTTTGAATGAACATTTGATATTGGCAGCCACTTTAGTTCGAATTGGCACATAAACTGTGTGAACACCACGAGTAAGATGAACAGAAAACCAATATCGTTCTCGATGATAGACATCCCCAGTTAATTGGACATCATTCACATAGAATGTAGATACACCAATACATTGAAATAATAGAGTACTGTCCACATTAACAGCTATATCACCAACTAGCCAGCCTTGCCACTCAGTTATTCCCAGAGAACCAAGGGAGCTAACTAAATCATTCCATGGAATTGAAGGAGAGATTTGTATAATACTTTCTAGTTTTCTCTGTTTAATTTCCATCCATTTTACTTTTGCTTCTGACATCAATTCAGAATAATATTCTTTCCCGGAATATCGAGACAATGAAAGATTCCTGATATCACCATAAACTTGTATTGGATCTCCATCAAATTCTGTTTTTCCGATTGGAAATGGACCCAGAAAATTCCATTCACTGATATACTTAGAGAACTTCCCTTCAAGTTTTGAGGCCTGTTTAAAGCAAAAGTTAGTCTGGGATGTGAATTTTTTCCCTTTTTTATCATATATTGTACCTAGTGCAGACCACATTAAACTATCTTTAGATTCAGTGACAAGATATTTTACAAAACAAACTTCTGGATGATCAACATCTTGCTGAAAATAAAGTGCATTTTAAGAAATAAAACAGTAGAAGTAAATGAAGAAGGTCTGAGCAAATATTAAGCTACGACCAGCAGTCATCATTCTGAAAATAAAGAATTATTCCTCTGAAATGAGTATAAAAATATAAAGAAAAAGTGTACTTTTTGAAATGCAAATTATGAACAATATCCTTAGTTTTCCCAACTGTTAACTTACATTTAAAAATGTCAATCTTTGTTTTTCTATAGCGCGTCTTGTTATTTTTTTTAAAGAACATTCTGTGTTTGCTTTATTTAATCTTTCAACTTCACTTTCTAAAAACTGTTTAGGAGACTTCTGAAATAAACAATGAAAAACAGTGTCTTTGAATATCATCAACTTAGTAATTGTTAATTGTTGAAAAAAAAATCAGTATCAGTCCCAAAAGACAATATATTGTGAGCTCTAAAAGCTGGTAGGTCTACCTCTAATATATGTGTAAGCCTACTAATGCTTTGCTATGTGCAAGAGTAACCAAAGTTAGCTTAGCAATGTCATAAACTGGGTCTAAACCTCACGGTCAAAATATTGACAGGATTTGAAAAGACAACTAGGAACCTAAATGAGGTTACTTTCGTACATGGTAGACCAGTTTAAGCTGTGTTAGGGTGGGTGAGAGAGAGAAATCACAGGAGCCATGAGTTAAAAATATTGCAATCATTTATGTTCTGAAGTCGATGAATTACGTCCCTTGTAACAAATTTGCTGAGAAAATCAATAATTCTAACCACTTACGTATGTCTCTTTCGCATTTAATAAATGCAGCAGTAAGAACTTAGCAAATAATACTATACTCCTCATGATGACAACAATATTATGTTTGCATCTCTGAATAAATATTGAAATACCAGCAAATATCCCATTCAATCATTTGTTATTTATGGTAGACATTTCCTACTTTTCTAAGCTGAAGAGCTCTAACAAGTTTTTACTACCATTGAATTTCTTATTTAGTAAAGTATACATGATCTAATGGATTGGATTATTTATCATATAAATATTTCAATTACATCTTTTAAAATAAATTTCCTAAATAACTGAGGCAAATATGTTTACGACATTTAAAAAAACAAAAGTCTTCTCTTTGGTAGTCAAGTCTCGAATGTCATGCTTGAATTTCTTATGTACTTTCCTTTTTGGATAATGGAGACTATTTATCAGGCGAGTCGATATGACCAATTGACTTGATTATTTATCTTTTGAAGATGCCGGCTAGTTGATAATAATAAATAAATACAAGGTCTATTGACGTATAATTTCTGAAATTATGGAAGATCACGAGCAGTCTCGAAATGCTTGGATCACTAAAGGTAACAATAGAAGTAATTCACTGACTTGACTATTTTTTTTAAAGTATGCAGATATCAAAAGGTGCTTTATAATATTTATAAACGTGTACTAGTGGACATGGGTGAATGTGTTCTGCCGACATTGCCACAATATCAAATTCCCTAAATGTTATATTATGCTCCAAAGCATAGTTTCCATGGATCATGGTCTTGGATGAGCATAAACCAATGCTAATGGCTTTTATAGTCAACGTTGCACCTTAAAAATGTGCTCAACATCTAAATGGTACTAAGCACTAGTTAAAATGGCACCTAATTTGGTCTATTTAGACTATGTAATAGAAAATTGCCCGTCATCTGTTGATAGAGATAGTGATAAACAGTTACATCCATTTATACTAGATAACTAGCCTGGGCTAAACCTTATTGTGTAGTAGTTTAATTTTCTTTAATTGTCAAATTGCTTGTTTATTTTATTCCTCTGTAAAATCATTTTGTTAAAGATGATCCGAAGTTGGTATCGGGTAAACATAAAGATATGTTTGATGATATATTAGATGATAGAAGACATTCCAGTGATTTCAGATGGTTTACTAGATCCCGAGATGTACCCAATTTTAAACTGAATAAACCACGATCACCAGATGAGATTAAAGAACATGTAATGAACAGTGATAGAGTTAAATATGCCATTGAACAGGTTGGTTCCTATCAAAGTCTTTTGACCCTTTTACTGGAAACAATTGTCAGCAATGAAAATAAGGAATAAAAGGTTTTCTGTCCAATAGACTGATGTCACCATTTCTAAGCTTGTTTTTTTTACATTTTTCACACATTCATACTTCTCACTTCTTGTAATTTATGCTTTAAATAGTTGATTTAAACATATTGGTAGTATTTGACTAGAGGATAATGTAAAATATTGACCTCTTTTGAAGATATTAGTCCCAGTCTTTCAGTTATTTTCAAAAAGCATGCCATAGTTTGTAAAGAGGCAAGGTGAATTCCTCTCTTTAGTGATATTATTCATGTGTATTAAGATTGAGAATCATATAGGCACATTGATATATGATAAATCTCCTGGCACATTAAATTACAAACTCCTAGATAATGATATATCAATGATTTCTGCTGCTCTTAATGAACAATTGTGACTATTATATTTTTTCTGAAGCCCATGATTATAATTTATATTACAGGTCTGTAAAGAAAGCAATCTACCATTATCTGAAGTCACTATTCAAGCTAAATCTATCCTGGACGAAATGGCGCATAATTTACGTCTAGGAGCTGTCAGATCATTCGCCTATTTTCTGATTAAAGCTATGAAGAAATTATTTAAAAGAATATATGTAAATGATGAAGGTGTACAGAAGGTGAGGCTATTGTTACTAATTCTTGCTGGGTCTTGTTTGTCTATTTCTTATTAACTAATCTTTTTTAGGAATTCAAACGATTTTTTAGCCTTGGTGTGTTTATTGAGAAAATTAAAGCTTCCATTTGCATCATGTTGTGATTTGAGAAAAGCTTAACCAGGTGATAATGTTGCTATCTCAAAAACTATTTGGCTTGAATGCATTTTGCCATGAGCCTGAGATGTCATAAGCTCACAATATTTAAAAGCTACAAAACCACCTTTGTATGTCTTTAATTATTTAATATCCATGTTCTGAATGGAGGAAATTTTGCAGCCAGCAGACTATAACAACTGAAGTAGCCAATCTCTTTTTATTGCCTGTACAATGAATCTCTGTGTTAACTTGTGAATTTGAAATTTTGCAATCCTGAGTTTACTTTGGACTTGTTTTGTAGGTTCGTGAGATAATCAAAGACTACCCAGTACTAGTTATGCCTACTCACAGGAGTTATTTAGATTTTTTATTAGTTTCCTTTATATTCTATAATTATGATCTTCCTCTACCAGCTATAGCTGCTGCCATGGGTAAGGAGATTGTTTTTTAGTTATTTTGTGCATAAAGGAAGGAAGGAAGGAAGGAAGGAAAATTCCCTGTAAAACAAGAAGAGAACTTTCAAACTTTATTACAGTTGGTTTTCTCAGATGGAAAGTATAAGAAGAGTCCATTGTGATTAAGCCCAGTGTAAACAATTTAATGAATAGATCAGACCTATTGCCAAAATGACATGACCAAAAATTTATTAGCATGTTAGACTAACATCTGTACACGTGAGAAAAAAAAATCTGGAGATTTGCCTTGAAAAAAATCTGTAGATTTGGTGAAAAGTCAGGAGATTTTTTCAAAGTGCGTAAATTCATGATTTTGAAACTCGAAATTGATTATTTATTTTTTTTGAAATAAACCTTAAGCCTTGTAAATTAATAAAACTTAGCAGCCAAATAACACTAACAGTTAGTGTGACTATCTATTTAAAAAATTGTGAAAATAGAACTGATCATGTTGTAGCTGCCAATATACCATCTTCATGGCTAAAATATGCTGATATTTATATCCAAACTAACCCTGTGGAGAGATATACTGATTCTTTATTTTATTTTAGATTTTATGGGTATGAAATTCTTTGGATGGTTATTAAGAAATTGTGGAGCGTTTTATATCCGAAGAAGTTTTGGTGATGATCAGTTATATTGGGCTGTATTTACCGAATACGTTCAAACACAGATAGCTAACGGTGATAATCCTGTATCGTTCTATGTTGAAGGAACGAGGAGTAGAACACAGAAATCATATGCACCACGATTAGGTATGTAAATGGGTATATATTTGTGAAAAGCAATGGATATTTCAAAAGGCTATATTTTGAAAAATGTATATTGGATGTTGTGCTAGAACTTAACTTTAAAATAATCTTTAAAATGAATACCGGAAAGAAAAAATGCAATTTATAAACAAGTTATTGGGTAGTGTAGGTATTGATTATCCTCATAATCTGACATTATATCAGATTTTGTAATTTTAATCTCTATTTTATATCTATGTAACATTGACACAATTAAAACAAATATCACTTATCTTAGTTTAGAATGAAGGTCAGTTGATGAGAATAGACTGATAAATAGTGCACACATCATGTATCATATATTATATTGAACTATAATTGAAGGTCAATGACACTATAGTTATCTATAACTATATTAACCTTGTATTTAAAAAAAAAAACAAGTATCACAACAGAGCCCTCTTGAGTATTTTGTTTATCAAAACGTATCTGAAGGCAAAAAGCTTTTCATCAAATCATACAATTATCAGCAAATAACTGAACTCAATAATGTTGTATAATAGACAAATAATTGATTCTTCAAGAATAAACATAATCCACAACCTAACTTAAACAATGGAGACATACAATATTATAATGTATATTTTATAGGAATGTTACAAGCATCATTAGAAACATATTTTAAATCTCATACACCAGATATAATGATAATACCTATCAGTATAAGCTATGATAGAGTGTTAGAAGAAAGTCTTTATGCGTATGAATTATTAGGTGTACCTAAACCTAAAGAATCTACTTCAGTAAGTATGATATAATATGGACTATTAATAAGGTTTGTCTAACCTAATCTGTATTGCCAATGTAGAACTAGTTTTTGCATGTCTCATCTCATCCAATTGTGGCACAGAAACCAAACTATTCTTTGGAGTTATTGGAGAATATATAGCCTAACAGAGGAAGTCTTTCATTTGATAGTTGCAAAGATTGAACTGAAGGAGATTGCTTTCCTCATTAGCACAAGGATCAGAATAATTTGTTAGTTTAAATAAAGTTTGTTGTTTTCATTTAAACAGGGATTATTAAAAGCAAGAAGTATACTTCAGGAAGATTTTGGATGTGTTCACATGTTTTTTGGTGATCCTATTTCTATAAGACAATATTCTGATGGTAAAGTTGATAGAAGTTCACATAATTTAGCTCCCAGGTAAAGTGACATTTTTCAATCAATTTTCTGCAATTTGCACCGTACACTAATACACAGAAAGGTATTGGTAATGGCATATGTTTCAATCCATATTTATGACATTCATGGCTGAAATAAGTCTTTTTGTTGAAATATGTGCATCCTGTAGGAATTGCAAATTTGATAAAGATTTTTCTATGATATATTGTAGATATATAGCTAGTCTGTCACAAGAAGAACAAGAATTAATCAGAAGTTTAAGTCATCATATTATATTAAAACATCAGAAGAACATGGTTATCTCCCCCTGGTCATTGATTGCTAGTATTTTAGTACAGTGTAAAGAAGGTATCACTATATCACAGTTAATAAAAGAAGTAGAATGGCTCAAAAGACAAGCCTCTAGTATTGGTGGATATATTGACTGGCCTGGTAAGTTTCCTGCAAGTTTCTTTGTAGCAATGATGGTTCTTTTGATTAATGCAAGTGAAATAGGTGACCTATGTTTGGATGACCTGTCAAAATAGTCAGACCAAGTGGGGAGAACATGAAGGTCAGATGGGCCATGGCCCCCAAGTAACCAGACTGGCCAGACTGTAAATATTGAGAGGGGAACATCCGGTGAAACATTTAAAAAAAAAAATGGTCACTTTCTATAATGTGCTCCCCAATGTGTTTTAAAGGTAAAACATTGCGCACTATAATCACAAATATACAGTATCTATCTGGTTTCTATTGTAGGTAATGAAACTGCTGAAGCTGTTACCAGACATAGTATAGCATTACACAGTAATATAGTACGAGTTAGTGAGGAAGATATAGTAGAGTTATTACATATACCAAGGGTATCTACCAATAAAACAGACCCATTATTTCAGACTGCAGCTCAACATATAATGTTATCACTGTATCGTAATCAATTGATGCATATCTTCGCTAGAGTTGCAATTATATCTAGTATATTAAACGGCTGTAGAGAGTCCACATTGTCAATAGGTAAATGAATATTAATTAAATAGCCCTCAAAATTAAGCCTTGGCAGAGCTAAATGTCATATTAAGAACTTTTGGATTTTTAATATTTGAATTGCCATACTAGGTTTGGAAGATCAATACAGATTATTATTTTAAGTACCCCTCCTCTTTGTAATAAAAAATAGTATTATTCTTGGAATTATGGAATCCATTTATATAGTAAACCTTCATTAATTTTGCTGTAGAAACTACTGTAACAATATTTCGCTTTGAGAAGTCTTCTGATCCATCATTGGACAATACAAGACTATTCCAAAACATCAATTTTATACCCTGTAAATAGAGGACCAGTTGTCAATATATCTTCTTTTACAGATGATCTGTATACAAGTTACACATTTCTAGAGACTTTGTTAAACAGAGATTTTATATTTCAACCAGGGCATTCTAAAATAGTAAGTATTGTTTTGTTCTTTTCTTGGTTTTTTATATATATTCACTGCATTGTAGATTAGTGTACCATGGTTTGTAAATTGTGGTTTTATTCATGTGGTTGAGCACTTTAAATGTTCTGGCACATTTTATTCCAAGTTAGTTTAAGTGGTATTGGACACATATGATATATTTGCATGGGCTTTATTCCTATTTATTTTATTCCTATAATGAATAGAATGCTTGTGCTATGTTTGTGAATGTTTATAACTATAAGTTTTCTTCTCTAAAAGTTGATGACTTGTTCATTATTTAATGTGTATGATATTTTTCAGGATTTTGAACAGGCATTATTAACTCTGACCCATAGTTGTGGTGTAATAGTTGAAAATAAACAGGTTTTAGTGGAGAAATCTGTAAATAAACATACTACTTACTTTAGTCAGATGTTTGAACCTTTCTTAATAGGTTATTGGGTGAGTAGTTTATCTTTTATTTGGGAATCGTTTACATTTATGATTAAAAAACGTCAAGTCATTCAAATGGGACCATTAAATGAGCCCTTGCAGTTTGTGCCTATTAAAGATCGGTCTGAAATGATATTTCCCATCATATTTTTTTCACATATTTGACTTGATTCTCCTTATAATTTGTCCATAGCAATTATAAACATATACTTCTATAAAGGTCAATAAGAAAACATTGTTTCTTATCTTGAGTGGAATTTAAAACTAGAATACTTTTATATCAGCAGAGTGGCACATCTGAGCAATCCTTATGCCTTCTATATATTTCATTTCTATTATTTGTTTATTTTCAGATTCTGTGTCGTTATTTATTATCAATGGATCCTAATGTTCATGGTAAACCATTATCTAAACCTCCAAAATCTATTATAAAAGATGCCCAGTCATTGAGTGCTAGATTAATAACTGAAGGTGTGATACGACATTATGAAGTTCTCTCTCTAGACATGATGAACAATGCTTTGAACTCTTTTTATTTTATGGGTGCTGTAAGAAAAGAAAAAAGGTAACGTTAATTGTTTAGTCAGCATTTTTTGACCTCAATGAATTATTTCAGAATTCCTTTAATCTTATGTTATTTAGAAATTATCTCACAAAATTCAAACTAAATGTTTTTTTTTTAACCTAAACCAAGTTTTCAATTACACAGTAAACATGCTGAGCAAGTACCATACTACAGCTTAGTTTATCTTACAGTATCATTGTATCATCAGATGCACCTAATTTAATGTCAATGGGAAAATATTTCAAGGAATTTATGCCTTTACTGTGCAGGAGACAAGTCACATGATGCCTACTTTAAACCTACAGAAAATATCATATTGCGTACCAGTTCAATATTGTTCTAAGAAGAAACACCAGGCTGAGGTTGATGAACTTCTACACCGTTTAACTTGTATGTTATATTTCAGAGATGGTATAACCTATATGTATCCAAGTATGACACCTCTATCACAAATTACACAGCAACTAGGTTTGTATATTATATTAAATATACAGTCCAGAGCTATCATCAGTTGTCTATGCTAGTGTGTAAAAAGTAGTGGTCATAAGTTTACAAGCGGGCAGTTGATCACACATAGTACATGGCATGTATTAATATAATAACATTTTATTTAATTAAAATTATTTTATTTTAATGGTATTAATTAATTAAAACTATTGTATTTTATTGGTAATACTATATTTTATTAAAACTATTTTATTTTCAGTAAAATGTGTAGATGTTCCACCATTACCCAGTGTTAGTATTAATGTTGATGCTAAAACAGTGACAGTAAATGCCAAATTATAAACAGAACAGCTCAGCAATTCAAAACTGACCAGCCTGATACATGTCAACCTTACAACCTCATATCATTATAAACTTAACTACAATAGCCACCTTTCTTGTATCATTGAAGATATTTAATTGGGTTGTGCTTGAGGGAATACAGCCAATCAGAGCCAGAATGTCTGTAAACAAAAAGCCATAATGTTTACAGTCTTTTTGTCAAGAGCTTTGATTGGCGGTAAACAAAAGCCATAATGTTTACAGTCTTTCTGTCAAGAGCTCTGATTAGTTGTAAACAAAAGCCATAATGTTTACAGTCTTTCTGTCAAGAGCTTTGATTGGCTGTAAACAAAAGCCATAATGTTTACAGTCTTTCTGTTAAGATCTCTGATTGGCTGTAAACAAAAGCCATAATGTTTCTGTCAAGAGCTTTGATTGGCGGTAAACAAAAGCCATAATGTTTACAGTCTTTCTGTTAAGATCTCTGTTTGACTGTATTGGCTCTGATACAAGAAAGGTTGCTAATGAAGTCAAGGTATAAGTAATAGCTTGACATTGTAAAGATATATGTAGTATTATAAAGCTGAAAACAGCTACTAGAAACTGCCAATTAAAGCCAGATAGTAATATAATGTCTAAAGTTGACTAGTTGACTACGCAAAACTTACAATAGGCCTTAATATAAATACATGTGGCAAAGTCAGCTTTCAGCTGTTCGATTAAATAAAGTCAGAAGTGTAGTTGAAATTGGATGGCCATATATTTGACTCTCATAAAGCATTATAGTAAGTTATTGTGACAAATTTTGAGGAACTGTGAGCTTTACAGGATGTTCTTTTTAAACATGACAAATAATACTCTATATTGTGGCAGCCTGAATTGACATCCAATATTTTATATCGAATATATGTGGCATTATTTTTCACATATAATTAGCCTATATGTATTTTATTATAGATAATCTGAAATCCTATTAATCTAGTTAGGATTTGAGGCCCTTTTCATAAAAAAAAATTCTGACGTTTTGGATATTTTTTTTGTGAATAGGTCCTGTTTTTGACATGTTTTTTTCTCTGTTTGTTGCTATTTGTAATATATTTCATGTTATTTATTTTGACAAGCGTGTTATATTTTGTTAACAAACTCATTTTATGTTAATGTATTTTTAAACAAATAAACTATGCAATAGATGTTTTATTGTTTGAGTATCAGCAGCTTTGTTGCTTAGTCCAGTTAATATAAACCGTCTGTTATATTTGAGGGCATCTTCACAATGTCAACCAATAAGGACCTTCGGCTTATACCTTGACTTGACTTGAATAGCTTTGATTCCACCAACGCCATTGCACATATTTAGCAAAAGCGTTAGCGTTCTTGTCTCTGGTATATAATTATATACTCGTAAGAATAATGAAATTGCGGTGCGAAATTATTCAGACTTTTTACACCTGAAATACACGAATTATACATCGTAGTTCAATCATTCATCAATTCTCGGTAGATACCGAAAAGATGCAAATAATACTTTCAGGGTAAACTGTTGTGTATTCAGTGTCCTACCTCTTCTTCCTTTTATATGGGATATAATGATCATTGCGAACTGACAGCATTTTAAAAATGCAGAGCCACCCCCTCTCTCCACAGACACGTCATTGCATATATGAAGCAAACAAAAACAGGGTCCAGATCGCGTATTTTCGAAACGATCTTAGCTCTACTTAAGATGCAATAGGGTCTGGCTTCTCAGATATGTTAGCTCTTAGATCGTTTGGAGAAAACGTGGTCAGGATATATCTTGGTATCTCAATATTTATCCGTATATATCATTGATATCATTGGTAATGTACACTTACTTTCAGCAATACTGTCACTAATGCGAGTCTTCCGCCTATGATTAATCTTGAATCTCAAGTGTAAGAATTTCAGTCATATGTATACAACTAACCCTATTTATAACCCTTTTGAAAACAGTCTTTACAAGCTAATCGGTGTGAAAGGTACAAAAAAAGCCTACCGTCATTCGAAATATATTACTATCGAACAATAATATTGTATTGACAAACCTTTATTGTACCCTGTGATCACAATGTTACTTTAGGTGTAAGAATTGAAAAGCGATTACGATAGTCGGTCAACCTAATAAATTACATAAAGACTGAAAATGTAACCTATTATATCCTATCGACGAAATGGCAAAAGGATCTGTTAAAAGTTGTGTAATATCTACCATAATCGCGATCATTTTGCTTGAAGGTAAGAATAACTTTTGGTTACTATTACCCCTTAAAGACACTGACGATAGTATTTTCAGTGGCGTTTCTACCCCTCTCCTCCTATCCTGAATTTCAAATTAATTTCTTAAATGCTTGGTGCTGTTTGCTTCTCTGGACTATTCTTTTGACGTACCAAGCCCCCTCCTATTGATTACCAGAATCGCCACTAGGTAATATGATTACCCTATATTCTGTTATGCAGGCCCCGTTGCTACAGGGGGAGGAGGGCAAGGAGATTGCCCCTCTGAAAAACCCTGACAACCGACCAATTCCAATACCGCAACACAATATTATACACGGCCTGCAGTTATACCAATGTAGGCTAACTTTTATAATGCTGTCAGTTCGCAATTAACATTGTATTGCTAATAAAGGGAAGAAGAGGTAGGACACTGAATACCAAACAGTTAACCCTGATAATACTCGCAGCTTTTCGGAAACTGCCGATAATTGATGAATCATTGAACTTCGAAATTCGTCTATTTCAGGTGTAAGCAGTCTTAATAATTTCTCACCATCATTTGATTATTTCCCCACGAATGTATACATACCCGAAACAGCAACGTTCGGTGATATTATATGGAGATGTAACGCAACAGATGGTGATGACTCGTCGACACCAGCAGGCCAACTCAGATATCAGATGAACACAAATGGTTAGATTTTCTATTCAGGCAATCTATTTTAACTTAGAACCTTTGTCAGATCCATGTGTTAATATTTAGACAAATCTTACTCAGTATATTATTTGGTCTGAAAAGGGTTCGAAGGAATTATGGCGATGGAGCTTGAGCTCCATCAACTACTGAAACACATATTTATATGACTATATCCTTTCTAATTAAAAAGTGAGTTTGCTTCCCCCAAGTAATTTGCGTAAACAAAGCAATGATCGGGGTAAATCTAAGCTTACATGGCTTTGGTTTAGTTACGGCTCATGTATCGGGGTTTGAAAATTCTCTATTTGTAATAAAAAAAAATAGGTTTTAGATTAAAAATTATAGAGTCGAGTGGGGGCCAAGATTCAAACAGATTTTCCCTTTATTTCAGTTTTTGTGCCGAGATGGGTACTGGACAGTGGATATTGTATAATGTATCTCAACACTAAATTAGATTATGAAAGCCAATTAACGCATACATTACGAGTGGTAGTACGAGATCTGGATCCAACAGCACCACGAAGTACTACAGGAACAATGACCATTCATGTTAAAGATACCAATGATAATCACCCGGTATGTAAATCCCTAATCTAATAAAAATAACATCGGATTTCGCTATCCTACAACTCGACTGTGCTAATAAGCAGATCATACATGCCACGATTTGATTGGTTTAAAATAATGTCATTAGATAGTGACTTAGGTAGAAAACTTGTTAGATTACATTCTAGCCAAAAAGAAATTTGTTATGAAAAAATGTTTTCATTTTCTAATACGTATATATATTTGTTATAGGTATGTACGGAGTATAATCGAGTGTTATATGTATCGGAAGATACAGCTGTGGGTACAGTTATTGCCAAGGCAGTCTGTAGTGATAGTGATAGAGATAAATCTACTCATGGAAAAATTCTTTATAAAATCTCAGGTTTGAATGTAGTCTTTGTCAGGTAGTCCCAAACTTTTTGATTTAAAGGCTACCTAGTTTTTTGTAGACAGTCGAAAAATTACCATAGCAATAGTCGTCCTGTCTTTATCTTAAAGAAATACAGTCGACATGATATTTTGAAATGGAAAAGATGAAATTTTGTGTAATTTTGGCACAGGGCATTGTAAAACCAACACGCTTTTGTGTGATTTCTGTAGGCCTTTTTGCCAATGTCTTGAAGACATAACAACTTACACAGTTGTCCGACAAACCAGTAAAGTTCTTCAGTCGTGATATACAAATGAGATTTCATCACGGTAACAATAGGGAGAAACATAGGGAGAAACCACAACGTCAGACGTATAATAACAGATAACAGATAATTAGTATTTAGATATCAACCCCGACAATCAAACATGCCTGTAGTTGACGAGATCTTGGGGATAGCTTTTTGAGAATTGATTTTTGATAATCTACCGAAATTGTTGTGTTATTTGTATCTATTGGAATAACACTTGCTAAATCACTTGAAAACATTTTGTAGATTCAAACATTGTTGAAGTGAATGATAGATTTGAAATCTTACCGGATGGTTCTGTAAATCTCAAGAAACAACTGGATTATGAGAGAGTGAAGTTTTATGTATTAACAATAGATGTTTATGATAATGGTGGATCAAATTCTCTAACAACAAGTATAACATATAATATACAAGTTAAAGATATAGATGATAATAAACCAACCTGGTCAACCAACCCATTAACTGTCTGTAAGTATAGCCGTACGGCTCTACAAATATCGTGAGAAGTCCATATTATTGCTACGTACTCTTATGAATGTGATCCAATGTTGCACAGTGTCGTGATTAAATGCATAAATGCGATGTAGTCAAAGAGATATGAATTTTGCAATGGATTTTATAAAAAAAACTTAGCGATTACCATCAAGTGCTTGTACAAACTGCGGGAAACAGCACCACATACCACAATATCTACTTGCACTGTGGAATTACCCTTCCTAGGGATGTAGTGGCAAACTAAGTTGTATGCATGTCTATGATTAGTTCCATTCTTTGAATGTTTTTATTCTACAGATGTTCAAGAATCAGCTGCTCTAGGAACTGGGGTGTTTACTCTCACTGCTATTGATGCAGATAAACCATTGACAGCTGCCAGTACAATAAAATATGGTATCAAAACACCAGCTGTACCAGATTGGTTTGGTATCGACAGTCAGACAGGTACAACTTCATCTATTTCAGCTATTATATCTTTATGTATGTGCTGGGTCCTTATTCTCCAAAATTTGATTAAGATAAAATCCAGATTTTAGAAAATATACAGTAATTGATTGTATAATAAAATCGATTTAAGTGTTTGACCAATCAGATGACTGGAACACTGAAATCATCTTAAGTTACGTTTTTAAGAATAAGGCCCCTGTTGGCAGTTGTGAAAGAACATTGTGAAAGCAGGGTCCGAAGCAAGGACTATTCTATCAAAGTGCTGTTAGCTAAGTAATGTTTTGTTAGTTTTAACAATGATGAAAATTTTCAGGTGGTATAGACTTGTACTGTGCTATCTTAGTCTAACCTAACAATGTTGGTACTGTTTTACAGGTGTTGTGTATGTCAAGGGAATTCTAGACCGACACATTTCACCATGTGTTACAATGGAAGTGTATGCTTATTCTTCTAATAAGAGTAATGATCGCAGCGAATTAGTGGCTGATATTAGACTAACTGATGGGATTACTACATCTAAACAAGTGAGTTATATAATCCTATTTCAGCGCTGCAGACATTCGTGGTTGACAAACAAAACAAATATTGATTGACCCTCTTGTCGTTTAACACAACAAAAACCCCACATAACTATGCGTCTCTGGTCAGATTTGTAATTTAACTGGAAGATATAAAACAATTAACTTGTAGATTGACACAATGACAGTTTACTGTGGTCGAAACAACAAGTCCGGGTAACATGGTATGGTTACAAAAATTAGATTTTCTTTCAGAGCTGTGAGGTAATTAAGGATGTAACCACAAAATCTACTGTGACCGATCCGGAAACATCAACATATACCTGTAAGTTCATTGTTAAATTTAATATTTGACAGTAGTCAAACCTGTTAGATCAGATCTGAATATTTCAGAATTACCAAAACAACAGTAGCAAATCATCTGATTTATCCAGACTAGTGGACAAAACACAAATGACTGATAAATCGTTCAAGGGACGGTATATTTCTAACACCTTAGTAAAACAGTATACGATCAGTATATTTGAAGCCTATCAGAGGATGAGCATCTGCATATTGTTTACTAAAAGATTACATTGTTTTTGAATTACAGCTTCAAAAGAACCAAGTGTATTAACAACTGTAACTGAAAAAGCAATTGTAACTACAAAACCAACTGAAAAACTAACTTCAAAACCAACTGTAAAAACAACTGTAACGGCAAAACCAACTGTAAAAACAACTGTAAAAACAACTGTAACGGCAAAACCAACTGTAAAAACAACTGTAACTGAAAAACTAACTGTAAAACCAACTGAAAAAGCAACTGTAACTACAAAACCAACTGAAAAACTAACTGCAAAACCAACTGAAAAACTAACTGCAAAACCAACTGAAAAAGCAACTGTAACTACAAAACCAACTGAAAAACTAACTGCAAAACCAACTGAAAAACTAACTGCAAAACCAACTGAAAAAGCAACTGCAAAACCAACTGAAAAAGCAACTGCAAAACCAACTGAAAAAGCAACTGTACCTACAAAACCAACCGAAAAACTAACTGCAAAACCAACTGAAAAAACAACTGCAAAACCAACTGTAACTGCAAAACCAACTGAAAAAGCTACCGCTAAAGCAACTGTAACTGCAAAACCAACTGAAAAAGTAACTGTTAGTGCCAAACCCTACGTTAGTGAGAAACCTATTGTGAGTAAAAAGCTAAAAGGTGATGAAGTTGATAATAACAATGAGTTTTTGAAAGGATTTGGAACTGGTATTGGTTCAACTTTAGCTTTCTTAATTATCATTATACTGGTAATAGTCATTATCTACAAGTACAGAAAAATGCGTATATATAAAATATAGACACTCATTTTGGCTTCACACACACTTTCAATTTTTATTATCATTTAACATGGTGCAAGAATGGCCTGTGGCTCCCATGGAAATTTTGTGGCCCGTGCTCGACCCTTCACCTGATGCTTTCTAGAAACGCCACTGGATAGTGTGAATTTGCAATATCTGGCGTTCATGTCTCAATGATTTGACACCCTTCCGTCTTAAAATATTCAATGAATGACATTGTCATCGATACTTATATTTTATAGTGTTTGATATCGTGTTTTGGGGGTAAAACAATGTATAATTTTTGGAAAGTCGTCCTATAAAAGGATTGAAAATGATACGTAGTCTATCATTTACATTAAGGGACGAAGATACTTCTAATCTTTCCAATAACCTTAGCGTTATTAACCTCTATCATTGGAGTATTCAGTGTTTAATTGTAATCACAATTAATATCAGTTGAGGATCTGTTAGAAGGAAACTCGATGGCGTTATTTCCCAAGATATACAGTAAAGGGAAATAGTTGGTCAGTCATTAAGTAACAAATACAAATTGTCCAATATATAGAAGACATTATCTAATTCTGTGTGACGGTTTTCAATGTTATGATCGGTAACCAATAGTGTTCACGAATTCTTGCACTATAGGTTATAAAACTAAGTGTAATATTAATACTATAATAAATGCACTTTAAAAATTATTCATATTGTATTTTATTACATTTTATTGTATTGTTTAATAAATCATTAATTGTTTTGTATTTATTGTATCGACTGGTAATAATGTTTCGTTTTATGTATTTTTGGGCGGATTTGATATTGTAAAGATCTCTACTTGGTCTGGTATTTATTTATTGAATTAGATCACAACTGAAATAAAAACTGTGGCGCAACTGAGATATACACTGTGGCGAATGTCTAGGGACAGGCTCAACATTTTGACATATTTGGTACTGGGTTTGTCTACTCCATTTTGAAGACCCCATAAAGCAAATTTAAGTTATTTCATTGTGGTCTGAAGCTTCGTTTTCCCAATTCATCCAGTGCAGCCAAGGGGCAATTATACTTTAAAAATTCTTCATATTATATGACTCTTACAAATCTCTTCAATTTAGATATTTCATTTAATTCCATGGCCTATTATTTATCATGTCCCGGGTATTCGTCTACAAATATTTACCCCAGAATCCCTTATAAAATATATAGTCTTGCTCAATGGTCGTCGGCTGAATTGTCCACGTTTGTAGATGCGAGTTGCACCCCTTCGCAAGAAATTTTTTTTTTTTTACGCGAGAATATTTTTGGAGAGATAACGTTCTTTAACTCCAGTGGACGCTATCAGGTGCAAATTGTGTTCGAGCGGTGCGTTTTGTCGTATATTCGAATTGTTTATTAGATTTGGTAACATGGGTCTTAACCCGTTGTCTGCATCATCACTTATACCATCCAATGGCAAAACCCAATAAGTCACATTTCGGTCAAGCGTGAGATTTTTTTTTGGTTTTGAGTTGCGAGATACCACCGCATTCATTTTACTGGTTCAAAAATTGTTCTTATTTCATATCTGCGCCCCTTATTTCATTAATATTTATTGTTTTTTCAAAGAAAGAAATCAGCAAATGAGTCCTTGTCTGTTTTATTTTGACATTTAAAACCCTTTCCCTCGGTATGTGGATTTAGAATATCATAAAAACCATGTTTTATCCTATACGTAGCAGTCTGAGTAACGAAGACACTGATCCATACCTTCCTCAATAAGTAAATGTAATTTTTATGAAGTAGTAATTGCCAATAGCCATCCGTGAAATCCGATCTAATTTTGAACATAAATCAGAACCACAACAACAACAACTTTGTGATATAAAGAAGACCTTTTTTCATGTCATATTTGAAATCTACACTCAAAACTCCATATCATTCTGTTTATTTCATTTAGGAAGAATATACACGTTTGCATTCGTAGTCTTGGACCAATACCAGGTCAATAACTTGAACCTGTACCTGATCCATGTAAATGTTTTCATTCAGGTAGGGCGTAGTATCTAAGTCGTAAATATTACCCATCAAAAGCCATAATATACTACGAAATACATAAAATTGGTTTAATAACCCCTTTTCGTACAGGACCTAACCAGTTCGGATATTTTATAGTATTTATTTTTCAATTGAGGCTTTCATAGGCGATAATCTATAGTGTTGTGTATAAGAAAGGAAAGCATTAAATATGTTAACATGTTGTTATTGTGAAGTCGTGTATAAAGTGTATTTACTGACAATGAAAGACCTTAAAGTCACCAAAGTGGATTAAAGCTACAATACTGAATAAACATGAAAATAATTCAGACGTACGTAAACGGAACAATGGAGTATTCCGTATGTGATCACAGCTTTTAACAGATATCAGATATCGGTTATGGTCGAAATATCCATAGAATAAGTAGAAAGCTTGTTTGCAACTTCTCTTGAAACATTTGAGAACACTCTTCCGCACACTGCGTATAACAGTAAATAAAGAAAACACAACACTCTTTCATATTTTGCTGTCAGCAGGGATCATTATAACCAATACCTATTTAAGAAATTGACATAGAGTACAAGTATTTATTTATATGTTGCATAAGAACACAGCAGAAGGCATTAAATAACGCATTGAATAAAATCGAAAGATCTGAATGGCGTTACAAAGGTATTTTATTAGATTCAAAGGATTGTCTATTTCTTACTGAGACACACCTATACCAGATATGTAGGTCGTAGAAGTTAAGAAATGAAGAATGTAATTCTGTTGCTGTTTTGTGAAATTTTGATAATTTTTGCTTTCAAAGGTAAGTCAGATTCTGTCAATTTTCAATATTTTATATATTTTTCTGTGTTTTTATGGTCGTTAACAAATTTTCTCATTTTTTGTCATTTAAAAGATAAATATTGATTTATTCAAATCATGATTTATATATTGTATTTTCAGTCCAAGCAGAGATAATTTGTAAACAGTATGGTACTGTTGTTTTGATAAATGAAAATGAACCAGTTAATTTCGTAGTGTTTACACCGTCGTGTTCAGATACCGCTGGTGGTACTCTGTCGTATTCTATAACAGATGGGAGACCAAAAAGACCTTATAAGAAGAAATTTAAAATCGATGCAAATGGAAATATCAAAATAAAAGCACGCTTGAATGCAGATTTTCTTCATAAATTCGCGGTAACCTATTTATATTTTTTTTACAAATCTTTGCATATTTTCATGTAAAATTGGTGGATACTTTCTGCTCTTGACCGAACGTTGAAAATGTTTTCTATATGTTTGATATAGTGGAAGTACTGGAATTGTGTTGCCATTGAGAATTTTTTATGGATTTATTTGATAATGGGACTCTTTTGTATTGTTATGACCTCGGGTAAGTTCCCTGATGAACAAAGTCTTATTTAGGCCAAGTTTAAACATTTCAATTTTTATGTCACCCTAAAAGAAAGCATACCTTTAAATACTTGTTTCAAAGTAATGATGGATCACCAATCTGACAAATGGCCCTATTTGTTTTGACTTTTAGCTTGAAATAGGAGTTAGTAGTTCGTCTGGGGCAACTGATGTTATTGAACTGGTTGTTAAAGTTCTAAATTACAATGATAATCATCCAGTACTGAAAGACTTACCACCAAGATTGAAGATATCAGAAGATAAACCTATTGGATATAAAGTCAGTACCTGTAGAGTTAACGATAAAGATAAACAAGATATACACCAATTTAGATTAATAAACACGGGTAAATATATCACCAAATAGAACTCATTAGGTTCATGTCTGAAGATGAATAGCATGTTTAGTTCATAATCTCAATCTAATTAACTTTCGTTCCGTTTTGTTTATTAGTTTTTATTTTAATATAGCCACTTCAGTTAGGGTTCAACGACAGCCCTCTTGAATGTCAGATTTTGAAATGGCACAATTTCATCCCATAGTCTTTATGAGATATAACAAAAAAGGTAGTTATACTATAAAATTTAAAAATCTTCTCTTCAGGACCAGTATCTATTTGATTTCGTTCATATTGTTTACTCTGATTTCCAGCAACACTGGACGCTACTAAATGGTATTTAGATAAAGAAAACTGTGATCTATATGTTAATCATGAACTAGATTATGAGACGAAGACTTCTTATACTATAACTATTCAAGCAGTTGATTATGGTGTCCCACCTAAAACATCTAATTCAGAGACTTTAGTAATCGACCTGACCGACTCGAATGACAATTATCCGGTAGGTAGGAAAAAAATCCAAATTCCAATTTTTCTTTATTCTAGGTATGTCCTCTGTATTATTCTAAGTATGTCCTCAGTATTATAAAGTGTAAGTTTAATTATTCTAAGTATGTCCTCAGTATTATAATGTGTAAGTTTAATTATTCTAAGTATGTCCTCAGTATTATAAAGTGTAAGTTTAATTATTCTAAGTATGTCCTCAGTATTATAATGTGTAAGTTTAAGTATTCTAGGTATGTCCTCAGTATTATAAAGTGTAAGTTTAATTATTCTAGGTATGTCCTCAGTATTATAAAGTGTAAGTTTAATTATTCTAGGTTTGTCCTCAGTATTATAAAGTGTAAGTTTAATTATTCTAGGTATGTCCTCAGTATTATAAAGTGTAAGTTTAATTATTCTAGGTATGTCCTCAGTATTATAAAGTGTAAGTTTAATTATTCTAGGTTTGTCCTCAGTATTATAAAGTGTAAGTTTAATTGTTGTAGGTTTGTCCTCAGTATTATAAAGTGTAAGTTGAATTATTCTAGGTATGTCCCCAGTATTATAAAGTGTAAGTTGAATTATTCTAGGTATGTCCTCAGTATTATAAAGTGTAAGTTTAATTATTCTAGGTATGTCCTCAGTATTATAAAGTGTAAGTTTAATTATTCTAGGTATGTCCTCAGTATCATAAAGTATAAGTGTGATTATTCTAGGTTGTCCTCAGTATTATAAAGTGTAAGTTTAATTATTCTAGGTATGTCCTCAGTATCATAAAGTATAAGTGTGATTATTCTAGGTTGTCCTCAGTATTACAAAGTGTAAGTTTAATTATCATAAGTATGTCCTCAGTATTATAATGTGTATGTTTAATTATTTTAGGTATGCCCTCAGTATTATAAAGTGTATGTCTTATTATTGTAGGTTTGTCCTCAGTATTATAAAGTGTATGTTTAATTATTGTAGGTTTGTCCTCAGTATTATAAAGTGTAAGTTTAATTATTGTAGGTATGTCCTCAGTATTATAAAGTGTATGTTTAATTATTGTAGGTTTGTCCTCAGTATTATAAAGTGTAAGTTTGGCTATTTTAGATATGTCCTCAGTATTATAAAGTGTATGTTTAATTATTCTAGGTTTGTCCTCAGTATTATAAAGTGTATGTTTAATTATTCTAGGTATGTCCTCAATATTATAAAGTAGTAAATATAAGTTTAGATCATACTGTTGGGGTAAATATTGGTGGAATTGTTTGTAGTGATAAGGATTCTGGTGTAAATGGAGTTGTCAGATATTCACTATCAGGTATTTATAACTTTTTTTCTTTGAAAGAATCATAATTTATAAGCATATACATGATCTAATTCACACCTTCTAGGTCACGGAAACGGCTAAGAAATGTAACGTGCTTCTTCAACATTGGTTTCTTAGGAAACACATTCTGTTACATCTAAGACTTGCATAGCAAATTGTTGCATCAAAGGTTTAATTCGAATGTCTTTTTTTATATTAAGCCTCAAAATGCATGTTGGATTGCATTTGTTTGTGAAAAATAATTGTAGAACTATGTATATATACGAGAACCTTGCCAGTCAATTCAAAGAAACCAATATATTTCAGCAAGTAACAGTGTAGATATAAAGAACAAGTTTCAAGTCGATGCTAATACTGGTGATATTAGTTTGAAATCTCAACTGGATTATGATACACTTAAAACATGTGAAGTTAAAATGGACGTGGCTGATTCAGGAACTGATATAGCTTTAACTTCTACTGTTACATACTGTATAGTTATCAATGCTGATGAAGTACCAACATCTTCTGTCAGTCCGATAACCACCTCAACAAGTAAGTAACTTTGTCTTGTTATATAAAGCTCAGACTCAAATATTTGGTATTTAAATCCTATTTTCTACGCTGATAATATGTGTCGGAATTGTCTAGACCGTTGTTTTTTTTCTTTTCATATATTCTATGCAATATTTCAATATATTTTTAATGATGGTACATGTACTTCCAGACTCTGGATCTGATTTCGACGCTTTGTTCGTTTTCCTCGCTATCAACACATTTCACTGACACATGTTAAGAATACAAAATCCTTATCAGCACTCTCAATCTTGAAAATAGAAGTCTATGTTACAATATAGGACTTTGAGCAGGGGGTGACTGAGCAAAAAGTCTTCACCGTCATTCCAGTACAGTAGGATTTTTGACTAATGAACAGATTTTTTATTAGCATAGGTACCAAACAATACTTGTGAATAATCTATTTATCCGGTAAAAAGTGAAAGTATTTAAAAATATTACAGGTACCCTTAAACCAACTGTCAGTGAAGAAACAACTGTTACCGACAAACATAATGTAACCGAAGAACCAAACGTTACAAACGAACCAAATTCTAGTGACAGACCGACTGTAAGTGAAAAACCTACCGTTAGTGAAAAACCGACCGTTAGTGAAAAACCGACTGTTAGTGAAAAACCGACCGTTAGTGAAAAACCGACCGTTAGTGAAAAAACGACCGTTAGTGAAAAACCGACTGTTAGTGAAAAAACGACCGTTAGTGAAAAACCAAATGTTAGTGAAAAACCGGCCGTTAGTGAAAAACCGGCCGTTAGTGAAAAACCGACCGTTAGTGATAAAACGACTGTTAGTGATAAACCGACTGTTAGTGATAAACCGACTGTTAGTGAAAAACCGACTGTTAGTCAGGAACTATTTACTGTTACTAAAGAAACATATGTTACCGAAATACCAAATGTTAGTGATGAAATCACTGTTAGTCAGGAACCCAATGTTACCGAAAAACCAATTGTTAGCGATGTACCCAATGTGAGCCAGGAACCAGGTGTTACTGACGAACTCAATATCAGTCAGCAACCCAATGTTAGTGATCCACCAGTTGTTGGTGAAAAACCCAAAGTCAGTAGTGGTGAGTTTGGGAAAGGATTAGGTGCTGGTATTGGTTCAACTTTAGCTGTTACCATTATCCTGATACTGGTAGTAGCTGTTATATTCAAGTGTAGAAACAAGTCGCAATATCAGGACAATCCAGTAATGTAAGTTTAATCATTTGTAATTATTGCATGATATAACACCTACTTATAAAAAAGGTTACTTTTCACTCATACGGAAAGTGTTCCCGATTACAATTTGATCTGAGGAAGGAAATTAAGCGGATCCCCCCCCCCCCCTTTTTGAACCACGCGAAGATATAAACTAGGCGATATTGGTTTAAGTTACGAAAAAGAGTGCCGAATTAGTGACTTATTTTTTGTCAATTCCTGTCTTGGAAATTGAAAACTAAGCTAAATAAACTATTTTCTTTTCATTTTTAGGTATGCTGCCAAGGCTATGAAAATTGTATCGGGTAGGTTGTTATTTTAATTCACACACCTCTGTGTTTAGTTAGATTCAACTAACAACCCATGCTTATATCAATATTTTGAGATGCGAAGCAGAAAAGTTCGTAATGATGACAGTAAAATAAGCTGAAATATAAGCTCTAGTGGACGGTAACGGTATAAATACAACTTTCAAAGGCAAATTCGTGCTCAAGATAGGAAACAACTTTCCATTCTATCAATATTTCCATGATAAACGAAATCATATGCATATTATAGAGTTGTCTGATTTGATTTCATCTGCTTACACCCAAACGTATATGACATGTTTCAACTGATACATTGTGTTATGTTTGTAGGTATCTCATATGAAGAGTTTAAATGTTAAATAATGAACAATGAAGACATGGGGAATACAGAACAACCAAGCGTCTCAGTTGGAAAAATCACTCCCGACGTTTTCAACACATGCCACTAGAAATGACTACCAATTAATTCATTAAATAAAACCACAGCCGTCAGTTATGTTGAATTATTAAATTGTAAATAATAAAGTTGTTTCCCTTTTTTGTTTAAACTGTATCCTATTCTCAGTAATCGTCATAAAAAGTCGAGAAAATTGGGTCACTGACGTATGTACCTGTGTTCACCTTTATTTCTTTTCTTTGCTGCTTATTGTGTGGCAAGATATTTTGTATCATTTCCGGTAGGTGTATGTTACCCTGTCTTTTATTAAGACATCTTATGACGTCTTCAGCACCAGATGATCAGATCACGATAAGTCAATATTTGGTATTTTGATAAAGAAAACTGATCTCACTGCATGCTCAATAAGAATCCATGACTCCATAAAAACACTGATTTATTAAAATATAATATATACAATAACTTAACAAGTAAGTGGTGCCTAGCATCGTAAGTATTTCATTTGAATAAAAATTTCAGTTTAATACCTATTTGATTACTTTTCAGAACAGATATCACAGTTACAATTGTTGTTATATCCATAAATTGTACGATATATTTACACATAGACAAATAACAAAGTTTTACATTTATTCACATAGTAGCGTTTTCCAAACTATAATTTTTTAAAGACGGGGCCTAATAATAACTCTCTGAGGAACAAACCATTCTAATCTATTTTTATACAATGTTATTATTCTCTTTCTCGGAAACTTATAGTTCTTGTTGTATTACATCATAATCAGAGTAAGGTTCCTCATCATTGACTGTTTGCGTTGAAGCGTCGTTCACGTTATTTTCATTAGGTACCACTAACTCTTCATATATTGGTTCTTCTAAATAACAAGTATTAGACATAATATATGGAGACGTTACAAATATCTTATCGAAGTGCACACTGAGGCGGATGTGGCCGGCAAGTATGTTCTTTCAATGAGGGTACGTACTTAATATAGTTTTTATGGTTATTGTCATGAAGCTGCTCTCCAAACGTATATAAAGATGAAGCAAAGAAACTTACCCTGTACGGCTCCCATATCCGTTGTAGCATACCTGAAAAAATAACGAGCAACTTTAACGTATAATCACTCAAAATTTCAATTTACGGAAATCGTTTTCACAGAATGAAATCGTAATATCTATTGCATTAAGCGCAGAACGCAAAGCAGTTCAAGCTTTTTGAACGTTACAATGATAATCGTTCAAACTTACATCTGCGAAGTCCGTTCAGTTTGACCTCTCTCACTATGATTCCTGTTTCTGTACTTATATATAACGATGAGCACCAGTACAATGATACTAACAACAACTAAGATAGAACCGATTCCGATACCTAGCCCTATCACAAACCCATCATCCATGTTTGGTTGGTCAACGGCGCTGGGTTCTTGAACCTCTAGAACAAAAGAGAATCAACGAATTGCATGTGATAACAGTGATAGTAATTTCATCTCAAAATCAGGTCAATATAACAAACCTATAACAGTTTTAATCGAAAATAAAATCTCGAAGACAACCTAACAATGTACCAATGTTTTATAATACTGAGGACATACCTAGAATATTTAAACTTACACTTTATAATAAAGAGTACATACCTAGAATAATTAAACTTACACTGTATAATACTGAGGACATACCTAGAATAATCAAACTTATATTTTATAATACTGAGGACAAAACTAGAATAATTAAACTTACACTTTATAATACTAAGTACATACCTAGAATAATTAAACTTACACTTTATAATACAGAGGACATACCTAGAATAATTAAACTTACACTTTATAATACTGAGTACATACCTAGAATAATTAAACTTACACTTAATAATACTGAGGACATACCTATAATAATTAAACTTACACTTTATAATACTGAGGACATACCTAGAATAATTAAACTTACACTTTATAATACTGAGAACATACCTAGAATAATTAAACTTATACTTTATGATACTGAGTACATACCTACAATAATTAAACTTACACTTTATAATACTGAGGACATACCTATGATAATTAAACTTACACTTTATAATACTGAGGACATACCTAGAATAATTAAACTTACACTTTATAATACTGAGGACATACCTATAATAATTAAACTTACACTTTATAATACTGAGGACATACCTAGAATAATTAAACTTACACTTTATAATACTGAGAACATACCTAGAATAATTAAACTTATACTTTATGATACTGAGTACATACCTACAATAATTAAACTTACACTTTATAATACTGAGGACATACCTATGATAATTAAACTTACACTTTATAATACTGAGGACATACCTAGAATAATTAAACTTACACTTTATAATACTGAGTACATACACAGAATAATTAAACTTACACTTTATAATACTGAGGACATACCTAAAAATATTTAAACTTACACTTTATAATACTGAGTACATACACAGAATAATTAAACTTACACTTTATAATACTGAGGACATACCTAAAAATATTTAAACTTACACTTTATAATACTGAGTTCATACCTAGAATAATTAAACTTACACTTTATAATACTGAGTACATACACAGAATAATTAAACTTATACTTTATAATACTGAGTACATACCTAGAATATTTAAACTTATACTTTATAATACTGAGGACATACCTAGAATAATTAAACTTATACTTTATAATACTGAGGGCATACCTAGAATAATTGAACTTACACTTTATAATACTGAGGACATACCTAGAATAATTAAACTTATACTTTATAATAATGGGGGCATACCTAGATTAATTAAACTTACACTTTATAATACTGAGGACATACCTAGAATAATTAAACTTGCACTTTATAATACTGAGGACAAACCTACAATAATTAAACTTACACTTTATAATACTGAGGACAAACACAGAATAATTAAACTTACACTTTATAATACTGAGGACATACCTAAAAATATTTAAACTTACACTTTATAATACAGAGTTCATACCTAGAATAATTAAACTTACACTTTATAATACTGAGTACATACCTAGAATAATTAAACTTATACTTTCAAGACAAAGACATTAGTTTCAATACCAGTTCATCTATTTTTTCACCTACCGGATAATTGTCATTGACATCAGCGAAACTAATTACCATAGACTCTGGATCAGAAGTTAATGGTGGTGCTCCAGTGTCAACAGCTTGAATAGTTATAGTATAGGACCTCATCTTTTCATAATCAGGTTCACCAATTAGATAGAGATCACAGTTCTTTCTATCCAAATACCAAAAACTAGCGTCTGATGATGCTGAAGATAGTGGATCAAGAATAGTTAGAATAACATCAGAGGAAATTCTAAAAACTTTCAAAAGCTGGCAGTTCCTTTACACTAGTTTCAATAGTTCAATCATATTGAGGCTAACGGAATAACGGAACACAATTATCTATACAAATGAAAATAAGTTCCGTTATTTAATGTGATCTCTACCCTTAAATATCGCTTACTACATATAAATTTATTATGTTGTAGAGTATAAAATACCTACTGGGCTCGCACATTTAGAAAGAAAGACAGAGGAACAAATTCGTAAGATTGTTTAAAGAATCTACGTGTATGAGATTGGTCGAGCAAAAGGTAACTCATATCATTTTGTTTCATTCCTTTTTGATATGAGAACGTTGCAACTAGAACAGATAGTGATGTGTAGTTAAGTGGGTCTTTCATCGACTTTTGTTGCGAATATATATATAACTAAATTCAGTAAAACACAGTAAAAATATTAGGAATTTTATGATATCAACACTTAGATCTAGCGCCTGGAGATATGCTTACACGAGTTTATAATGGTAAAATCAACACCATCTCTATCGTTATCATTCGCGCTGCATGTACTGATTTTAAATCCAATGGGTGCATTTTCAAACAGTGTCAAAGATGGAGGAACATCTTTCAGTACTGGTCTATTATCATTGTAGTTTAAAACTTTGATTCCAAGATTTATAACATAAGACTCTCCTGTAATACTGCTAACCCTTATATCAATCTCAAAGTAAATATCAAATGTTAACTAAAATTCCATATAAAATATAAATCCAGTAATTAATTTTATGCTAGCGAATGTAGTCCGTGCTATTTTGTCTTACAAATCCTCTTTCTCCCTCCCTTTTGAGGTTTTTGCATGTATAATTTTGGAAATACGACTATTGAAAAAATATTACATAAAATCTATGATCGTGAAAGTATTATTTTTTTCAGAAAATGGGATCCGTTTTACACGGTTGGTTACAGCATTTTTTACTTACGTTTTCGATGTATAATTTTGGAAATACGACTATTGAAAAAATATTACATAAAATCTATGATCGTGAAAGTATTATTTTTTTCAGAAAATGGGATCCGTTTTACACGGTTGGTTACAGCATTTTTTACTTACGTTTTCGACTGTCTAAGAATTGTTTGTTCTCCTTTTATTAATGCGATTAACATTACTCAACACCGACAGTTCTTCATATTGTGCATCTTCTAATAAAGATATGGAGCAACTTTTAAAATATATAAGAATATTAACATCCGATTGAAACCATGGCAAATGAGCAACCCTTGAAGTTTACGGGAGACATAGATCAGACGATGTCAGATAAAGTGACAGTGAAACGGATTGTTGTCTACTAAGCGAATTCTAAGAAAATAAGAAAATTTTCATGCCTGTGCCAGTGCTTCCGAGAGTTGACCGGTGTCAGCTTTCATCCCCCTTTAACAATAGTTAATAAAACTCTGTCTGTATAAACCTCGAAATATATGTGTATACAGTGGTTAGTCACTATCATTCAGTCCTTCTTTGTCTATGCACAGCTCATTCCGCTCAACCTTTGCCAATGTTCGTTTGTTTCCGTAAGCTAGAATAGCTCAGAGATTTTGACGCCGTCAAAGCACTATGTAACTGAAAAACTGAAAAACAAATCGCAAGACGAAATAGTCGTACCTACTGAAGTTGGAAAGGTATTGAAATATTATTCATTTATCTATCTATCTAAATGCTAAAAGGTGTACACCTACCCCGTGCGACTCCAATATCAGTTCCAATATTTGTTACAGCAATACTAAAGAAAAGAAAGAAAAAAATTACATTTACAAGGAAATTGAAAAACATATTTAGTATGGTAAGTTTACAACGCAAAATTGTTTGCGCTTTTTTACGCTGCACTAGGTCTAAAAAGACAATGTATTACAATTGTAACGTACCGTTCTTGTTTTCTCTCACTATTATTCCTGTTTCTGTACTTGTAGATAAAGACTACTACCAGTATAATGATAAGAACAACAACTAAAGTTGAACCAAGACCTTTCACAAACCCCAAACCATTTAAATTGGGTTTGCGGGTACCTGTTATTTCATGCATAAAGAAAATGGTTTTATTTGTATTAATTCTATATTATAAAAATTTCATGATATATATCACGGTTAAAATATCTTAATATTGTAACAATAATGTATATTATAATCATAAACTTTTTGCACATACTTTTTGTCATATAGCAATATTATACAAATCAATATGACAAGAAACCTACTACTAGCTTCAGAATTAGTTGTACCAACATATACAGCAGAAGTAGGTGATATTTTGTCGGAAGTAGTATCAAACTGAAAGGTATATGTTAATGTACATCAACTTGTTTTGATTAAATTCAGCTTTTTAAGAAATATCTCAATTGCGATCCATATCATATGGGCTACTAAAGACGTGCAACACAGGACAGCGGCATGATCTTTTTCGAGTTCCATCTGTTGAGGGATCTTTAACGTGCACAGCCTGTAGCACACGGGGCCTCAATTTATTGTCCTATCCGAACGAATAGACGCTATCTCCATGCCAGTCTCTCTTACCTGGGTGCTGACAGGTGGAAACCTATGTCGGGGTTGAACCCTGGAACTTCAGGTTAGCGAGCAAGCGTCTAACTCACTGAGCCACCGCGGCTACCGATCCGGATCATAGTGGGCATATCTGTTATACGTTCCACCTGATAGACTTTAAATTAATGTTAATTGTTCAGATAAACTATTGTGCTTTGCAATCTTTAAGCAGTAGTTAGTCATCCGGGAGTTCTGCATTACAACAAAACTCTTATAGCGCTATAAGAATATATTATTTCAATATCAACCAATAACATACTAATATCATTGGTTTTATTAGAAGAATAAGCATACACTACCATTCTCAACCTGGGTGTTGTTTTAGTGTTAAGGACCCCCTTCACATAACCCAAACCTAAAATCAATAGACATTTTTAAGAACAAATAACCAATCCTAATCCCACCACCGACCTAGTCCAATTGAAAAAATGAATGGAGTAGTTTTACCTGTCTGACTGTCGATACCGAACCAATCTGGTACAGCTGGTGTTTTGATACCATATGTTATTGTACTGGCAGCTGTCAATGGTTTATCTGCATCAATAGCAGTGAGAGTAAACACCCCAGTTCCAAGAGCAGCTGATTCTTGAACATCTGAAACAAAATGTACAAAATAGTCATTTTAGATCTGTTTCTGGATTAACTGAAATAAATATCAGACAGCAATCGAAAAATACTGGTCATTATCATAATTGTGAGAAATATTTACTTCAATTAAATGATAATAGAATACAATATTTTTTTTTATTTATTATGGCCCCGGGACGCTTCCGTAAACATCACACTTTTTAGGTAAAACATGTCATTTGTGGACTTTTCTACAGCTAGAACTTTTATGTTTTAGTTACTAAGTATTCGGAGCATTTACAAATTTTGAAATCATATGAAAGCACGGTGTTTTTAAATTCTCGTGGGTCAGAAAAAAATACATTGATCTTTTTGACGATAAAAATCAAATTGTTGACCCAAAGTTGTTTTTAATATAATGTTTTATAGATTTGTATGTAATATTTCGTTTTAGATGGAATATACTATGTAATTTTAATCTTTGTTTTATGATATTGACGTTTCTCTACTATCGTTCTTGTTGGTTATACTTACACACAGTTAAATGGATTATTGGCCAGGTTGGTTTATTATCATCTATATCTTTAACTTGTATATTATATGTTATACTTGTTAGAGAATTTGATCCACCATTATCATAAACATCTATTGTTAATACATAAAACTTCACTCTCTCATAATCCAGTTGTTTCTTGAGATGTACAGAACCTTTGTCCTTGTTGACTTCAAAGGTTTCCTTCACTTCAACACTGTTTGAATCTTAATAAAAATTTACAGATTAAATGCATTTTTATGCAACCGTGTGGTATTTAACCTACAATCAAGACCAAACCTGTAATGAAAAAGTGCTCTGGAAACCACATAATTATGCCAAATTTATGTTTTTTTCTATTTCTTATTTCGTTTAATTGGAATATAAATTCTACACTCAAGACTGAACATGTAAATGAAACCCTTGCTACACAATATTACTCTTTTATTTTGCCTATGGGCAATTTTTTATATTCACACCTGAGACATTAAAAAATATTCCTCCATAACTATCAGCATCTGTACACACTGCCGTGGCTATCAGTGCATTGATTGGTGTATCTTCCGGTACGAATAAAACTCTTGAGGTTTCAGAACATTCCTTAAATAAACATGTACATTAACAAAAAGGTAAATTAAAAAGATTGAAGCCATTGTCAGTGTTTTGGCAAAACAAATTTCATTTGTTACTACATAGCATGACATGGCCCAAATTAAACGCAGCAAAGTAAGACGAGTACAACTTCATTCTATTCATAATCTGATGATTTGTTCTTTAAGGATAGCATTATCTTCCACGTGTTTCGAACGGAGCACAAACCAAAAGTTTAATAAATCTTTAACTTTTGCCAGTTTTTTGAAAATATAAACACCGAGTTTAATTATATTAAACAAATTAGACATAGATCTACCGGAGTATTATCATTAACATCAGTGATGTGTATGGTCAGTGTCCCTGTTGTTGTTGTTGGTGTGGATGAATGAATGTCATTAGCGGTAACTCTTAACGTGTAACTGGTTCGTGCTTCATAATCTAATCTGGTGTTGACATACAATGCACAATATTTGCTGTCTAAGGACCAGTCATCATCTGTAATAGCAAAGAGGGTTGAATGTTATGTCAATAGATGAAAACAGTTGTTGTTTAATACCGTGGGGGGTTTGGAATAGATTTTGTGTTTTTCAATTGAAATTTAAACTTGACTTGATTAAAATTGTTTCAATAGCTAGAATATAATTGTCATCTTGGATTAGGTATACAGGAGATGAGAGCCGACACTGGACATTTTCATAAATTGAGGAGGATTTGAACTCACGGCACCTAATCGCTTAGCAGACGACAATCAGACTCACTACCGATTAAGCTATTCCACTGCCACACGAAGACAGTGTTCCAACACTTTGAAAGTTATTAACTTCTTCAAGGAGATATTCATTCACAGGTGGATTAGGTTTTGGTTTAGGTTCCGTAAATAAAACTGAATAAATCTTACATTGTTCAGCAAGCCGAAACCGAAACTGTTCAGCTGCTTTTGATTGTAAACCTCCGTATGTTGCGTTACAACTCCATATATTATCACCTAACGTTGCTGTTTCTGGTACATATATAGATGTAGGGAAGTGTGCAAATTGTGGCGCGAAATCATTATTTACACCTAAAAAATTAACTTTTTATTTAATCGAACTGTCGCCGAAATTGGTCATTTCAGCTTAAACTACAAAAGTGTACTCTATTACATACAAAGAAATTTGTTACAACGGCAATAACTAATACCAAGTCTCAACAGGTCGGGCCAAAACTGTAGTTTCTCTCTAAGAGATAAATGCAATAATCTTTCGTCGAAAGTTCGCAATCATCGAAATAGCCCTCGATATCATCAAAATTGCATAGGCATACCCAGTTTCATCAAAATCGAACCATAGTAAATTTAGACGTACGGACAGTGGTGAAGACAATAACTTTACACATAATGATGTTTGTTCTACTTACAACTAGCTCCGGAGTAAGATGCATTACCGATCTGAAAAGTAATGTATTTTCATAGATTAGTACTAATCCGACAAATTAACTGGGTTAAGGGTCAGACATATATAATATCAATTTTCAGGAGAGTTGCTCCGACACATTTTTGGGTCGTTCATTTTCACCATGACAAAAGCCCAATTTGGCAGAACTTTTGAAAAACATACTCTATGACTGTATTGTGGTACCGTGTGGGCCACAGGGACATTATACAATTTCTGGCAATATCCTAATCGACTCCATATGTTGCAGCTTTGTACAGACACAAAAATTTCTGCCATATGATGCTCTTGACATTATATGAGTGGCCCTAAACCCAGTTCCGATATCCTATCTGACTTTTACCAAGAAATGGGTAGGGTCAGATTTGTCGGGCTAAGAGTAGTACATAGTAAGTTAAGGCATGTGTCCACAGACGCTGCACAAACGCCCATAAAAAGCAATGCTGGCAATATTGTGTCTGGAGTGATGCATCGAGACAGTTAGTTCAAGATTGTATACAGACAAATATGTCGACGATAAACCTTCTGATTTTTAACAGCCAGTGTCACAGAACAGAGGTACTAACATGGAAAAAAGCTTGTAGTCGTTCGAATGGGACAATAAACCAAGGTCCTATGGGTTACACTTACAGGGTGTGTCCGTCTGTATTACCTCAAGCAGTAAATTTCATTTCAGTTCATTTCAGTGGTCTCAGTTACAAGCGATACACTGTATGTGGATATATAGAGATATTCTTTATTGTTAAAATACTCACTTGTCGAAATGTTGTGGTACTATCATCTGTTAATCTAATATCAACCACTAAAACACTTATATCATTGATTTTATCAGAAGAATAGGCATACACTTCTATTCGTAACCTCGTAGCAATTCTACAATTCAGAATTCCCTTTACATATACCAAGCCTAAAAGGAAATATAGTTTAGAGGAGGGGAATATAACTTCACATCCCATGATAAACGTTATGAAACCGATATCTTTCACACATTATAAGCAAAATTAGCAATGCTCTTCGACAAAATGTCTAAGCATACCTAAGTCGCACGGAAGAGAAAATATTAGGTATCCACTGATATTAGTACATGTTATTGAGCTCAGTATTAGTGACAGATGAATTTATTTCACTGATAAATAACATTCGTCTGATGCCGATACAGTAGTCTGCAACATATTGAAGTTTAAGCAATAGATAAATTAATTCAATTTACCTTTACATTGATTCATTGCTTCGAACTATAATTGTCTATCGTTCTCTCTTGTTAATTATTGTCGATGCAGGTACTCTTTGCAGACCGCCCCCCTCCCCGCTTCAATTATCCTTAAGACGAAACAAAATAGATAAAGTTGTACCTGTCTGACTGACAACACCAAACCAATCAGGTACAGCTGGTGTTTTGATACCATATGTTATTGTACTGGCAGATGTCAATGGTTTATCTGCATCAATAGCAGTGAGAGTAAATACCCCAGTTCCTAGAGCAGTTGACTCATAAACGGCTGGAATAAACGACTTTCACTTACATGCCGATATACATTAATATTATCTCGCCTTCCTAGCAAAATTCCGCCACTGGTCACATTCCTGAGCATTATGGCTGCTGTTGAGGCCTAATTTTTGTAACGGCAATCTTTTTTAAATATAATTTATCAATCGGAAACTTCATGAAAAGAATACATTAGACAGTGGAAATATAAGCAATGAACGATGGACCCAATGCAGTTGGTCAAGATGCCAAATTTATCATGACTGCCTTCGGTAGCTCATTCAATTTGGGACCTTGCCCAATGTATTCATATCACCGTAACTGCAGTGGGTCCATCGTTCATTGCTTAAATATTATCTCGCCCTCCTAGCAAAATTCCGCCACTGTAGCGAAACCCAAAGAGGTTCAAAACGGTTTCAAAATCACGGGTTTCGCGTGACAATCTGTAATTGATTGAAAAAACCGTCACCAAAATGCGACTGTAGAAAACTTGTAAGATTACAATTGAGACGAAGAAATTCCAGAATACGTAATTGTAATCTATTTCAAGTTAGATTTAACAATATATAGCTATATGGATACACTATCAATTCCTTATTTTGGAAATAATCTGGCAATCGTTTAGTTTTAGTAAACATCAAATTATGCTGTGTACTTACAGACAGTCAATGGGTTGGTTGACCAGGTTGGTTTATTATCATCTATATCTTTAACTTGTATATTATATGTTATACTTGTTGTTAGAGAATTTGATCCACCATTATCATAAACATCTATTGTTAATACATAAAACTTCACTCTCTCATAATCCAGTTGTTTCTTGAGATTTACAGAACCATTGTTATTAGTGACTTCAAAGGTTTCCTTCACTTCATCACTGTTTGAATCTGACAGAATCGTTAAACTTAATAATTGTAATATAGTAATAGTAGTAAACTCGGAAGAAGAAATGTATATATCCCCACAATACCTTCTTACTTATTGAAAAGATATATTTTACTTACCGTCATCACTGATTGAATTCATACTACAGTAGCTATCTTTTACAAAGTGCATTCACATTCGACTTAGGAGAGGAAGAGGTAATGAGTTTACTAATCATAATCATAAATTCCTTTATAAAAGCCCAATCCTCAGCAATCACGACTAGCAAAAGAAAAGGTAAAACCCGTCCAATACAATATTACCTGCCACTTTGAACATAACCTTTCCATTCGTAGATATGTCTCTGTCATTATCGGTACAGACTACTCTGGTTATCTCTCTGCCAACTTGTTCATCTTCAGATACTAATATAACTGGATAATATCTCTCACATGTCTAAAATTAATACAATTAGCATTGTACTCTTATTTGGGATCTACCTTAGCTATTTTCATAACTTTTGGAAATTAGATTGGTTCTATTTCCACAATATTTTTGATTACGTATACATGTATAGGTCATGGCTCAATATATCCCCAAATATGATAATTCAAAAACATATAACAGGCTAAATTAAATACAAATTCAGAAAATAATAAGTATAGTTTTGGAAAACAAAAAAATGAAATCTAAATTACGAAAACAGAAAATTCAACAAGATAATGACGATTCGGAACAAAATGTAAACTTAAAGCATATTTAAAAAAAAATATTTAGGCCTATATCCGAAACAAAAGATCGAAAGATGCTGTAATTTGACTGATTAATCAATCTCATTTTGAAATTAATTATAAAAATTAACCAAGTACTAACGATCCGAACCGTAAATCGAAACAACATTTTGGCGAAACATTATTAGCAGCTATTCCCTCTTTTTGTTAATAGGCCCCAAGTCTGATATACCTACCGGAGTATTATCATTAACATCAGTGATGTGTATGGTCAGTGTCCCTGTTGTTGTTTGTGGCGAGGTTGGATGTAAATCCTTTACGATAATGCGTAATGCGTAAGTCTGCTGGCCTTCATAATTTAATCCCGTAAAAACATACATGTCACAATTTCTGCTGTCCAGAAACCATTTCGGCTGATTTACTACAACAGGAATTATATAATCAGGTTGAATTTAACTGGGCGTGAAAGCATGGTTTTTAAACTATGTATTAAAATGATATGTTTAAGTCAGCACAGAATATTGGCCTAACAGCAACCGGTCTCTGCTTAAAGCCGGATAAAATGTTGCGAAAATAGATAAAGATTGCCCTAATTTTATAATAAACCTACATACCGACAAATATATATATATTTATATCGGGTCGAAAAAAACTATAACACTTTTCAGTTTAGAATTTTTCTTCATAAAAAAATATAATGTCGAAAGTATCTACAGTAATTTCTCCTCTATAATTGAACCAATGCCCAATGGTTGAAAAAATGACCTCTGAATTTAGAGGTTTAGAGGATTTTATGCCAAACCACCTCCAGTCCCCTAATAGATAGCCAATGTTTTACAATGTGTTTTCCCTAGCTGACAACATTAACCATGGAGATAAGCTGAAACCGGAGAGGTAATATTTGGTGATGGGCCAGGGGAATTTGAATGATTTGTGAAGAAAATTGTAATCTTACTGAGCATTGGTTCAATAATAGAGGAGAAATTATAGTTATTGCTTTCGACATTATATTTTTTTGACAAGGAATTTTTAAAAAGGCTGCTTTTGCAAAGCTTATATTTGGTGAAAAGATCCCTATAATGATAAAGACATAATTGCGTGGTCTTCGCTGTGTTACTTTTCGAAAAATCTTGATATATCATTTTTATGCTAAACAGTTAAGTAAGCATAGGTAAGCACATGTGGACCATCCAACAGAAAGCATGAGCAGAAATGGTATCATTGCGTAGAATAAGCAATGAACTTACCCCTAGTGGAGAATTCAAATCTGAGTTGTCCTTCTGGTGTTGAAGGGTCATCTTCATCTGTTGCGTTACAACTCCATATTACATCGCCATACGTCGCTGTTTCTGATATATTGATAGACGTAGGAAAATAATCGAATTGCGGTGCAGCGTAATGCACTACTGAAATAAACAAACTGAAATAATTAAGCTATGCTTCGAATAATGTCATTGCCTTTTCGTCATCTATGATTGGTTATGAAGTTATGCTGCCATAAAAACTTCACACCACACGCACAGAAACCAGCAAATATGGAAGACCATCATGAAGATACCATTCAAAAAAGTT